GAGAGACGAGGCTGGAATAGTGGCAGTGCCAGACGAGCTCTAGCGAAGCCGAGAGAGGCCGGCAGTAGCGTCCAGCCGAGCGGCAGTGCTCGAGCAGTTTTCTCGTCGTTCGACTTCCTGACCTCGACGACGACGTTCACCGACGACGAAGCGTTCCTACAGTAGACGCAGGCATATTACCTCGATTTAACCCACCCACCCGCACCTTTTCTTTACCATCCACATATGATCATACCAATTCATACAGTGATTACATTACAATGCATCATATACCAGTCCATGTAAGCTCATATGTGATGTGAACCTGTTGGAACTGCAAATCGCGGTACAAGTGGGGTATGCGCCTCGCCTTGCACCGCGTCCGAATCCCGACTAACCAGGATTCTCACCCAACCAGTTAGCAGTTCCTTCAGCTCGCACTCACGAGAGACGAGGCTGGACGGGGCAGACCGAATTGCCTCCTTCTATATCAGGCAGGGAGGACAGTCGGCAACGCAGTTGCTGCATCCTCCCGCCGCCAAAAGCCGCCATCCTCTGACCTCTTCCGCTATGGTCTTTGGATAAGTTTTGGCAGACATCTTGCTATACGCGTTACTGTAGGCTGTTCCTTTTGTGATCAAGACGCTTCCAAAGGCGTTGCCCGTACTCAAATCCCCAGCAAATGTCGGGCGAATCTCGCATGGGAAAGGACTATCATTATGAGTCCATCATTCTGTCCTGGTGCTGTGATCGTACTTTATGCTTGCCTTGACGCTGATAAGTATGCTGTGGTTCGAGGGAAATATGTCGTTAGTCTAAAAAAATTGCACGGAACGTTGACGTGAACATTCGTCCGTGGTACAGTGATGGTACGTCTGTAGCCGGATCCTCAGGGCGCCCTCGTGCTTGTTGATAGGTAAGATACGCACACACCTCTATCCGGTCTCTTCCCCATGCCGGTGGCATGTATGGCCGCTACTATAGCGCCATGGGAAGTCGACATCCTCTAACTCAAGCCGTTATTGAGCGCTTCAGAAGGCGCAAGTGGTCAGTGCTACTTTCCGGACCATCGATACAGAAGGTCCTGAAAATTTACTACGAATACGTTCTACCCTCTTTTGCATTACAGGCACATCATTCAACGTCAGTCCGGTATGTGCCCCGTGATACGCTCTCCATAAGATGAACGACATACGCTGCTGCAACGGGGTCGGCAGACCTTTTCGTCATCAACATGCGACATTGTGGTCTCCTGTGGCAGTCCCAATGGTAATGTAAGGTTCAAGTTGCCTGACGCTAACTTTGTGCAATTAATGAGATGCCGGCTTCATTTATCTGGGTATCGTATGGGAACATAAGTTAACGTTTAGGTACCCGCCTGTCTTCCAGAATACTTACTTAGACTCAAATAAGTATCCTGCTGCACAGACCCGGCAGGTGGATATAACGAGCGGCGGTGCGACCATAGCATGCTTTGATCTACAGTACAACAAGGTAATTAGAAGTAGGAGCTAGATTGGTTGTCGTGTTTCTCCTGCCAGTGAAGGAGTTCATAGAATTTTTTAACAGTGATTGCGGGAAGAACCGGATATCATACATTCAGTAAATTCAAAGCTCACTACATCTTACAAATCATGAGTTCAATGGTTCTTAACAGCGTATCGGAAGCCATTTGCACACTGTGCATGTACCTGTCATTACCCCTTCAATGGAACTAACCTGATGTCCCACCTGGTGACGGGTTGAAGATACGCTCATTGCAAACGTGTGCAATGCTGTGCAATTTCGCCGATATATTTATGCTGCAGGCTCCGAGTTCTTCAGGGCAACGCACAACTCCTCCATGACCTTGGTTGTAGGAGCCCACTTCAAGTTTTGGCTGCAGCGCACCTCAGAGATGGATTATCTGTATAGCTGGCTGGTGGCAATCCGGAGATTGGTCGCTCCAACGAGCCTGAGGGGGCTATCATGGATACTCAGAGTCTTCCATTACTTACTTCATCTTATGAAGGGCTTCGCCCGCAGGTATACTTGGTTGAAGAAGTCGCAATCCAGTGGAAGCGGGGACCAGTGCGACCTCAGTCCTTCTAGACCTGATGATATGAGGCTCATACACAGCCCTCCGAAAACAAGCTACGTTTGCCCTAGCAATGTACCAATTATCATCGCGCCTACAGACTCATCAAGCCTACCTACATCTGGATACGCCACTAAAAACGCCAGTGGAACATCGCTCGAATTTAGAAACAGACATGAGAGTGCCGAGGATGTCCGAGATCCTGCGGGTAGCTCTCAATTCTTGTCGCCGTATGGATATGCTACTCGAAACTCCTCCTTCATTTCCCAGGACTCTAGGCAACCCGATGGAAATAGTAATTCGCCTCCACACCTAGGGCTGACTCTGCGGCCTCAAAGTCCGTCGTCCCTGGGAAACATGGGTCTGGGTTCACGGTCGAGTTTACGGCTTGTAGCCAGCGGGTCAGATCATCAACCCCCCGGCGGTTCATGCCTTGAAGTCAGTACAACGACGACTTTCCCCGCCAGCAATATAGATTACCTGTCATCCGCGCGTCTGTCGAGGACCACACTTGGCTCAGTGCATGTGGCTAGCCCGGGAGGCGCAGGTCCAATCCGTATTGATCTAAAGCCTACCACCGCTAAAAAGATTAGTGGTGCCAGATATGATCGGGGGATAGTTATGTACGTCAATCGACACTTCTGGCTGCACGCTCCTTTACCTGATACTCCACAGCGAGAAAAGGGAGGAGGATGGGAAAGATAATCCCAAGATCCCAGCGTTGAAACGCGAATTCGATTTGTGAGTCTGTTAACTTGTCTAAGTGAAGCACTTGACAAAACTTAACAAGTACGTAGTGATAGCCCCGTCCCAGAAGGCTGGGAGGCATGTCTACATCCCGAGGGCGCGTTATATTTTTACCAGAGGAATAAAGTCAGTACCAACCCGGATAGATATCATGCTTTCTGAAATCAAGCTCAGCGTATACTTACGGATGCGAATCTCTGCGATCCTGCGGAAGCGCGCGCTCTGTTCGCAGGCATAGGATATCTTGAAGATGCTTTGGAAGAAAATCATATCGTCATGCCTGACGATTGCGAGATCGCCCTGGAACTAAATACGGTGGATGATGCCAAAGAGACTCTCGTCAGGGAATGTGGATATTACTTTGTTGACGGTCTGTCACGGGCACTCTTTTGGTTTGATACCTACGACGTAGAAGAGTTGCTTGAAGAGGTGCAGGGAAAAACCAACCTACGGCACCTTAGTACGTCTAATCCTTTGTCCGTCCTTGCTGAAGTATTCAATCAAGAGAATCTTCAGAGCATGAGCTAGAAAGCCATTACTGGTATGTTTCTGGTCCCTTTGGTAAGTTGGGTTTCGGTCGACGTCGCCGCCCTTGATTTACACACCATAGATAGTACGGTTACCTTACCACTCCTGATGTTAGGTCGCACTGTGAACTGTTTCCCAACCATCGTGAAGTTCCGGAACAGCTGATTCATGAGGTTCAAGGAATCCTACTACATGCGAGTATAGGTCAGCATATCATGTGCTCATGTTTTCCCTTGGCCTAACATAGCACAGATTCACTCACGTCGGCTTCGTCTCTTTCACCATGGTTCACCGAGGTTACGCAAAAGATGTTGAATATGATATCCGGGACAAAGGGTAGGGCAGAACTCTGTTTATCCTAGTCGCGCCCCTGAGCCTCAACTTCAGATATCGGGAATGAAAATGGATACTCAGCTTGTGTCATTGGTGTGTTCCGCATTGTAGATGTATACAAGAAAGCTCAATCTAGTTCAGGCAGACTCATGAGTGTGTTCGGTCAGTAGGTGTGATACCATCGCTTTGTCCGTCTAATTTATAGTTCGGTAGTCCATCAACGGTTCATTCATTATCATGGTCTACCTGGTGCTCGTCTGTCCCGAATCCAAACTATATACGGGGACACAAAGAAGGGCGACTCACTGCTCATAAAGCTCGTATCTCCGCTGTTCTTCAACGCTCCTAGGTTCCATCTCAGAACACTGGACGACATCTGGGTGGACAAAGTGATCAATTATCAATCCTGGGATTACTTAATGGGAAAATTACAAGATGAATGGGAGCACATTTCCATCATAGTGGGTTCGAGTATATGGCTAGACCCACCGCACATCTAACTGTCATGCAGGCTACTGTTATGCTCACGGTGAACATTGGGTTTCTGGCAATCCAGAGCGTGGACCGGTCGGAAGATATCCGTTCGGCTGCTCAACTCACGAGTTACCTCTCTGCCATCCTTAGCGTCTCGAGCATTGTCATTGGGCTTGCCCTTTCAAGACACCATAGGACATTGAAGCGCGACGACGCCGACATCGCCGTGAGTAACTCGCACGGTGCTAAGACGTTCGCCCCATTTACATGTGCTTAGCAATACTATCTATGGAGCAAGTACCACCCGGAGTTGGGGTTGGAAGTATTGGCTATAATGTACGGCCTGCCCCATGCTTTGCTGATGTGGTCGTAAGTTGACTCCGGCACTTGCGGTCCATGACGCACCATCACTGACCTAACACGGACTTCAGGATATGCGCGTTCTTCGTCGCCTTGACATGTCAATACTTCCAACTGAACCCCGACATTGAGGCCACGAGCCTAGCGGGCAGAATCCCGGTGGCCCTGACGTGGCTAATTGCCCTGTCACTCGTCGTTTGGATCCTGCACTGCGACTGGCAAGGGAAGGACGACTCCTTGAGTGGGAAAGTCTTCTGCTTCCTCAAATCCATGTGGTCACAGGTGTCCAGTGGCACATTGACCATGGGTCAGTCGGTAGGGCGAGTATTGCGCGCGCCTCTTCACGCAATCAGAACGGCGCCCGCTGACTCGCAGGACGTACCAAACGAATTGAGTGAAGCGTGAACAATGAGAGTGGGTGCGGTCTTGGATAGATGACAACACAGGAACTTGACATGCGATTGCCGGCGCCATTCATGGGCATGGGAGAGGCAAGGGGGTACGTGGAAAGTTTTGAAAGGTCTGCTGCGTAGATGCTTGAGATATGCTCGGCCGTTGTTAATGGGATCCTGTATTGTAACCGGGGAAATCGGTACGGGAGTAACCACCCTCAGCCTAGAACACGGGAAGCATAATCGCCTCTCGGAGCGGTTTAGCATCCCCCCGCCATAGGTGAAGTGTAAGCCCCCCGATGCACGAACCTCAATGGGACTACATACAAGGATGCTTATACGGGGTTCGAGCTTCATGACATTCTACCTTCAACATGTTCCAAACACGTACAAGATCCTGAAATCGAGTCGAGCGTGCCACCATGTAGACGAGGCACGGCACGACACCGAACCGCAGCCGCTCAGAAAATGGTCGGTTCGGTCGGGGAGCAGCTCCGTTTCCGAATCCAATGAATTAAGATGCTTACAACACATGGAATAAATCACACGACGCACACCAGACGGGAAGAAAGACTCAAAGGGAACGAAGCACCAGACAATACGAGAAAGCAGCCCTACTGCGTTTTGTCCTGCATCACTCGTTCGACAAGCTCTGTCACCCAGGATTCGAATCGCTCCTGGTCCATAGTGCCGTTCTCGTCGAAGAAGGCGTTGTAGCTGCGCTGGTCGCTCGCCTTGCCCCTGCCAAGAAGTGACTTTCCGCCACTTGCAGAACGGACGTACGTTGCGGATAGAAAGTATGCGGGTGGATTCGATGGACTTGAGGGGACAGTGTTGGACGACATGGTTATCCGTTCGGTGACGATCTAAGTGTGCAGGGTGAGCGAAGATGTCCGTTGACAAGGCGCGGTGAAGTGCATTACCCGCTTGTCAAACGTCTTCCGCTTTCCGACAAAGACTATGTCCTTCTCCACGAAGTATGCGTATAAGGTCTGTGCGATCGCCAAGACGACGTACCTACGGGAAGATAAGCGGACAAGAAACCGAATGCGACAAAGTAACGCTCACACAATCATACCCGCCCACACGACCGGTTTTGACGTCTCAAATTCCACCTTCCAGCCATAGTACGCCGTTCCTGCTGCTACCAGCACACTCGCCCATCCCAGTGCTAGCCGTACGTCCGTATGTGTATGTATTTGCTTGAACAGTTCCGGTCGAGATAAAAACTGCACGGCAGGGAATATGCAGTCAATAAATATACCTCACACCGCGCTATATCCCTGAGTCGGCATGTACCTTCTCAGCAGCGGAAGGACAAGAGCACGTACGCGCTTCAGAATGTCATCGCAAGCATTCTTCAGGTCGACCAAGTTCGTGTTATTGACCTTGACCAGGTCGCGCTCCTCGGCTGGAATCACAACGTTTACGAGTCGCGTGGCAGGTTTCGAGTCGTTCACGTCGCTCGCCGTGCCGTCCGCTGCGCCACCATTTTCGCTCTTCCTGATCCTGGCCATTTCAGATAACCCTTAATTCCGCGAGACACGTTGTGGACAAAGGCAGAAAGGCAAGCGCAAGATTTAGGGCATCGACGCTCGCGCTCTCCAGGCCACACCGACGTGTTCTACATGATCGTGAGAACTGACTTCCATTCGTGGCTTTACCGAAAGAGCTCCAGGATTCGCTCGACGATTGCAGGAGAAGGCCGCTGGGCCTATGCAACTGGAGATTTTGATTCACAGTATATACCGAACTCTCCGGTGAATGGCACATAAGCCAAGAATGGAGGATGCGCTGAATTGGACGCGTCGAACGCGTCGTACGATCCGTCGCCGTCGCCGTGAGCTTAAAGCAAGCTGAGGTCGTACGATGCCGCTTTCCCGGCGCCGTCAATCATACAAGCCATATAAAAGCCAGCCCGGCCAGCACACGAGTTCTTCAGACGGTTGACGGTCTTCTGGCACGCTTAAAATGGCAGTATCGTCGAAAGCGAAGGCCAGGCTGCACAAGGGGTCGGAGCAGAAGCGGAATCAGCTCATGAAATGGGTTCTGCGGTTCGCCGCTCTCTTCGCCTTCATCGCGACGTGTAGCTGGCTCGATACCATTAAGGTAAGTCTGAGAACGGTTCGTGCGTTACGGGGCCCGCGTAACCTCTGCTTTATCATCCCAGGGCCGGTGGTATGTCTTCGACCCCACCAGCCTCCACCAGTTAGCGCAAGAGGCGGTAGCGGTCAGCGGCGACGACATGCGGGGGATGATCGACCATATCGTTAAGAACCTGACAGCGACCTACCCGGACTCCCGAATCAAGCTGAACACCGACTCATCCGAATGGATGTTCAACAACGCGGGAGGTGCCATGGGCGCCATGTACATCATCCATTCCAGCATCACCGAGTACCTCATCATTTTTGGCACGCCATTAGGCACGGAGGGGCACACCGGCATCCATACAGCCGATGACTATTTCAACATCCTTTACGGCGAGCAGTGGGCGTTCCTCCCCGGTTCCCTCGAGAAGGAGGTGTACCCTCCAGGCTCGGTGCATTTCCTTCCAAGAGGGACTGTCAAGCAGTATAAGATGCACGAGGGGTGCTTTGCCCTCGAATACGCCCGAGGTATATATCTCCTCCCTTTCCACGTTCGCTGAGGTACTGAAACTGTCTTAGGGTGGATTCCCCTCATGCTGCCGTTCGGGTTCATGGACACGCTGACATCCACTTTGGACTTCCCTACGTTCTATCGTACAGCCAGGATCACCGCGCGAGAGATGTTGGGCAATCTACTAATAGGCAAGATATAAAAGTAGCTGTGACTACGATATACCGTAATGTTATTTTATGCCTTCTGGAGCTGTACACGGGGTTACTATCGTTGAGAAGGTATTGATTTTTGAATCCGCTCTTCGGACCCAAGCCAGCCTTGAGCACCAAAGCGACAGCTAATCCTATCAGGCGTAAAACGGTCAATAATACGTGACATTAGCTATGTACATAGCAGGATCGCTCACTAGCGTAGTTCCCTCTCGCGCGGACGGGCTCAACCTCAGGTACGCATACGCACCGTATGTATACTCAGAAGGCAATGCCTCCTCATGAAAGGCGGAATATTGGGGTGGGGGGCTGCTGCATGTGAATGCACAGCACTTCTGCACTTCTGCGGGAGATTGCCTGGATATCACGCCTGGATATTTCGCAGAGGCCCGGGAAAAACTGTGTGGCATCATCCTGGAGAGCCACGAGTAGCTCATAGTAGACAACAGTCATAGTATGTCCTAACAGGCCTAGGAGGTTTAAGTTTCGAATTATGGAGAAGACTAAAAGTAGTAGAGGTATAGGTCAGACGCGTCGGTGAACGCGCGTGCGCATAGACCACGGGTTTCGAGAAGGGTCGGTGAACCTGCGCAGGATTGAATGACGCAGAATATATCGATGATGCATGCAGACCTTGGCAATTCCGTGCATGAGTTTTGGATGTAAGGGATGCCTGATCCGCACAGCATGCGGTAACACCTAATAAACAAGATCCACAAGGACCTTCCTCTCGACAGAACCCCACTCCGAGAGCTCATCACCTAACCGAAAGACAGAAGGTAGTTCCACCCAAACCTCTTTGATTTTCCGAGAGGCAGCGAGCCGGATGTTCCCCATACAGAAGTCGCAGAGATTCGGGAACAACTCGGCCTTTACCTCGGGGTCGTAGCGCTCCAGCATACGAAGGAATCGGAGTGTCCCGTCTAGTTGGTACGCCTGACACGCCCGCGCCCCGGCAACCCTAGCGGCTTGACACTGCTCGGGATTGCGGAAGTTGTGACAGGAGCCCCGTGGAGCCGCGTCCACAATCATGTTCTGTATGTCGAGAAAGCCCAGCTTCTCACAACCAGACATGAGACGCCTGAAGTCTGCCTGGTCCAGTGTATCCCATCTTGCGGTGCGTTCTCCCCTAAAGAGAGGATCCTCGTCGAGCGTCTCGTCAGAGTAAGGATGCCCACCAGTGTGCCCGGGTTTCAGGATAGTTTCAGCCCGAACGGTCGTCCAATCGAGTTCAGGGTCGATCGTCGACAAGTCGTAGAATGCAGCCGGGAGAATGGACGGGATATTGAACTCTTTTGCGAAACGTATGGCAGTGGCTGGGTCCGGGACCATGCTATCGTAGCATTCGTCTAGGTCGAGAGAGCAGTGGTTAGCCCAGAGAGTGCACAACGCTTGTCTCTTCTCGTCCAGCTTGCACCAAGCTTCCAAGTTCGTCGGATATTGATGCTCGAGCCCACGGATGATAAATTCCCGGATGGGCTCAACGAAGTACTTCGTGGCCATGTCCAAGAGTCCTCTCCAATATGGGGACAATACGTCAACACCCTCAGCCGATATCTTCCTGTCTAGCCTGAAGCGCAACATTAAATGAGACCGGGTAACATCATGATGATTCTGAGAGCCGCGCACTTACGTAGGAGTATATAGGCAGGTTAGGAAAGACTTCACGTCTCGTGCGTCGTCAGGGAGAGTGACCATTGGTACACCGTCATGCATATCCATGTCTGCCGGCGTTGGCACCCCAAACATGTCGCGGAAAATATCCGAGTACATGCACAGTATGCTTTTATGCACTTTGAAGTGCGCCATTTGCCCGGTCTCGCTGAACTGTGCGCGAAGGACAATGTTTCCATCTTCGTAATACAGTTGAGTACCAACATCAAAAGGATTGTTGCCAGACATGATCGACGTATGAAGGAAGGGTATCCTTGTCGATAATGATGCGGTCGATTTTGTCGTGGGCTGCGGCGGCGAGCCAAAATCGCGTCTAGTCACGTCGCTTGTCACGCTTCATTACAGCCCACTTTTCGAAAATCATTTACAGTCGGACCACGTCGGAGAAGTAATTTCAAGTCCCCGAGAGACAGAGATCAGACCATCTGGACTTCTCTACCTTCTTCCGACGTCCCTGGTACCCACTCCGACTATACGTGGTTTTCTGAATTGATGGTCTATCGATCTGCAAACGGCTGTAATTAATCGCGTCGATACGCGTACTACCGCTCTCTCTGGCACATGAAGTTGTCTTACAGCCGTTTGCAGATCGTTAGGCCATCACTTCAGAAAGTCACATATAGTCGGAGTGTATCGGACATGGTGCCAGGGACGTCCCAGGAATTAAAAGAAGTCCATGGTCTGATATTGGGGCCTCGGGGACTTGAATTCCCCTCTCCGACATGGTCCGACTGTAAATGATTTTCAAGAAATGGACCCATCAAACTGCAAACGGCTGTATCGTCAATGGTCTAGTAATCTGTCGAAGATACTCTCCCACGGCTGGCGTCAAGGGCAGTATTGTGGCTTCGAGTCACCTTAGGCAGGGCCGATTTGATGACATCATAACTTGTATAGCCCATAAATGTGAGGGACTTAAAGGACTAGATAGACCACATCTGGCCGATGTATCCCTATACAGTCCCTAAATAGCTGGCTGCCCGAATTGCGTGGTATCTGCACTATATGGAGAGGCTCCGGCGATGGCGCTGGAACGCTGGCACGGGGCTGCTAATAGATGCTGATATATATATTTATATACACATTTACATGGATTTCCGGCCGTAGGGATGTCTCAACATCAGCCTAAGTTGGGGATGTCAAACAGATTTCGTGCTGATGTCTCGCCGATGCCGCCGCCGGGCGCCCATCCGAGTCGGACGGACAGCGTGATCTTGATGCACTTGATGGCGGTCCCACGCCTGCCTCTTTTGGTAGGCATCCCATTGTGGATGCCAATCCTGATGGCTGCACGAAGCCATCGTCTGCATTGCGCCTGCTCTGCCCTGTATATTGTATATATGTACTACTTATACTCATCTATGTATCACTACTCCCCCAAAGCTGTTTGACCGGTAATTAATTGTGCTAGAGGAGAATATAGGTGCATCAGGACAAAGCTGGTGAGTAGTAAAGGCTACCCGCCTGCAAGGAACCCCCTGCCATGTGTCTGCTTAACATCGCAGAACCGGGGATGGCCTGAGGCATCCGCTAGCGCGATTCAACATCCGTCTGTCCAAAAATGCTGGATTTCATACGGTGGCTGAACCAGTATTGATGGTCACTTCACACATTTAGAATGCAATAGGTCACGAATTGCTGTCAAAAAGGCTGTATAAGACCACTTCATAAGTATTAAACCCAGCTACACAGAAGCGACCAGTTCTTCCTGTGAAACCGCGCCAGGACACACTCGATCCCCGACTCCCACGGTAGTTGGGAGGAGGGTTCTGTCGGGAAGAAATGGTCGCTCCACCATACAACTCGCTCTCGCCGTGAGAACCTCATGTAAGCAACGTCCCGACCGGACCGACGCCACTTTCGTTTCGACTTGAAGACAACTGCCCACACACACCTGACGTGAAAGGTCAAAGTGATGCAGTGCATTCGATAAAAGGATGCATTGATACAAGTGAGGCTGACAAATGTGACTAGTATCTCTGAGCGGGAACTGGGAGGAAGCCCCTTTAAGTACTGATGTAGATATAAGACAGGACTTTATCGATACTGCCAGTGTGTATGTGTCCGTACGCGTCAAGACTGGCATTCCGCAACTTGACCAGACACTAGTACTGGAATACTTGATGGTTTCTGACTGGAGTCGGGGATTGGCGCTTGCGCCGCTACGATATACTATGTAATGTACAGTATGCAGCTACGAGTCTTGTGCATAGTGAGTGTACAATCACGCCCACCGGTTGCGGCACTTCATCGCCGCGGGAAATGAGCATCGGCGCGGCTTGGGAGTATTGGGGGGTCTTTTAAATAGATTTCCCCCTTGCCACAGATGTCCTCTGAGACCGAACCGCGGCTCTATAACATCAATGAATTGGTGCTTATTGCTATTCGTTCTCTGATTGGCCAGAGAGCCCCTCTCGGCTGTCTCCGAAGATGGGTGTGATGCATCTGCTGCGTATATGTATACCGCCACATTAATTGCGACGCTGGAGATCAAACCGTCTCCAGTACTATCACTTGTTTCCTCTACACTAGGGCAAAAACTGGGGGATACATGCATTTGCCCGTGATATGCCCATCCGTGTAATGATGTGTGATACCCAGCTAATTGATATTTATCATATTATGACGGAATAACAGCTATCCCCACCCTGTAAATGATCACATACCCTGAGCTGTGGTGGGTAAAACATGGTAGTCATTCATGCAGAATTGTTGCAGGGAGAATTGCCTCTTCTGATACGTCTCCAAGCCATCTCGAGATGGTCTGCAAGAGCCTCTGGCGATGAACTGCAGAGGTTATTGAATTCTCACGCATTTGAATACATCTAAATTTGGATTAAAGGGAGAAGCATCGGGCAGATGAAGCCTACCTAGTCCTTTAAGTCCTTCACATTAATGGGCTATCTAAGTTATTATGTCATCAAATCGCTCCTGCCTAAGGTGCTTCGAGTGCCGTCCCATCAGAATCCGGTAATAACTGACACAGCCCTCGACAGATGATCATCGCTCGATGGCCAACTACTCAACGCGATGGGTCGTCTGAATGGTATGGCTGTACTTAAACGTGGGTAACATAGGGCCGTAAGACACACAGCCTCAGATGAAGGCTGTTCTCGCACCTTCGTCTGCACCCTCGGAATGTCAGAAATCCAGCGAGGGAATAGGTTGAACAGCCATGCATTCCCTCGAATGAAAGGTCTTTACTGTGACACATTGGATGAAATTGAGCTATTCTCGCACATCCCCTTCGCTACAATGAGCGTCAGCGTCAGCGGAATCTCGCAGTCGGTGCTAGGCACCCTATGGACCAATCTATCAGACAGTATGTCTGCAATCGTCTCACTCACTTTCTGTGCTGATCATTCTGGATCTACCGTAGTCCTCAGTCCAGTGCCTGTGAATCTAGTGTTAAAATACACAGACGACAAGCTGTTAACCAACCTCGGGCCAGGCAGGTGTGAAAGGTGAGCCTCCTTATGATATATGATACTTCCTTGACATAAAGCTGACGGTCTCATTCCCTCGCAGTGGCACAGGTATCAGCTTGGCTCCCGTTAGGAAGCCAGTACCCAGCGGACACAAACCTCGTCCGAAATGAGGTTGTCCGTTGCCTCGTGGACGCTAGTTGCCCAAGAGCGAACGCCGTTCTCCAACGTCGTGAACTTCCTGTCAGGAGGATCGGCTGGTTGAACAGTCCCAAGAACTCAGAATAGAATCAAGCAGTGCAAGGAATCACCCGAGACTGGCGTTCGCGACCGAGATGACAAGTATAGATGAACGAGTCGCATCGTTGGCACCGCCGCTCTACCCGTTATAAGTCGCATGTCAATGTTTCACCTTGAGTATTTACAACCGTATCGATTGAGAAGCAAATCGTTGGGTGTATATCCTCCCATAAGCAGCTGCCCTAGATCCGACTGTCATCTCCACGGAATGGGCACCTAGAGGAGAGATAAGCGCCACAAATCCATGTCTTACAGAGACCAATCACCAGACAGAACCGAGGTTAACACACTCCTTTCTGAAGCACACCATTCACCTTAACCCAGGCCGCGTTGCATCCGGATGGAAGTGCACCCGGGCTAATCTGCGATCAGCCAGCGGTGACTCGGACATCTCGGACAATCTGCTCCCTTCGCAAAGAGTGCAGGCGTGCAAGCAAGTCATCGAGGCTATGCTTCCTGAAGGCTTCGGAGATATATAGTGAGAGTCCTGCATGAGATAGAATTCCTCAAGTGGCCTGCCCTGCCTCTAGTATGGACATCGCTCGCTTCAGCGAGTTTGGCCCATCAAACACGCTATGCAGTCGTCTAACAGACGGTACGCCTACATCCTCCCGTTGCGTCTAATCTACTTACCGATCCCTGCTACTTACCGATACCTGCCCTCGATATGACAGCTCTCAGTCTTTGCCCAGCGAGCATAGAGCTGGCATACCCGTCAGACGTTAACGGTGGACTGATGGGCAGCGCACGCCGGGGTGAACGGTAAGCAATCTCTTCGCACCTGATACTGCCTCGCAGGGGCCACTCATCCTTGTCAGCCTCGAGTCAGGCACTGGAATTTCTCTGGCTCCCGTCAGGAAGCCGATCTATGATGGACTGAAACCCAAGCCTCATCATCGTAGATGAGAGCGCTCGGTGGCAGTCAAACGTTATCTCTTGGAGTGGAGCCGACACCATGAGATCATTTGGGTGAATCCCTGGAAGGGCGACTCCAAGTGAGCGCGTTGGAACGATGGCCGTACGGAAGTGACATTGGTTCTGAATAAGAGGCTGTCAATGGACGCATTGTAATACCTGTTGTATCAGAAGCTTGTGTATGACTGCGAAGAATAATGCTACACATCAAATACTTCAGTAATTCGAGGGTATAGAAGAGATGAAACTAATAATCGCTACATGTTTGTCGGCAGGGACTCCCTGAATAAGCACTGACCAGCAATATTAGGAGGAGGGTGCAGGAGGAAGGAGCCTCATCCTGCTGTAGGGTCTCTCGCACGGAGACGGTCTGCAGACCTTCTTGCCAATAGACGTTCGTGAGCCTGTCAGGAGGGAGAACCACGAAAGCAGCGCCACGAGGGCGGGCGGCGCCATGAAGCATTCCATGACCTTTGCCAGAGCTAGCGTGCAAAAAGAGAAGCCCACGAGGACTAATCATAATCAGCTAGAAGACCGAAATCAGTTAGACTGTCCAAGTACGAAGGATAAAGATTTACCTCCTCCGCCCTCATCGCCTCCCCCACCGCCGAGGTCGTCCATATCATCGCCTTCACCATTATCGAAGTAGTTCTCGGCGTAATCGTTGTCGTACTCCTCATCGACGTCGTAGTCCTCGTCTGGGGCGGCTGAGCCGGCGTCCGACCGGTCCTCGTCAGTCTTGTCCTGATGAAGAGTTGAGCTTCTCCATCGGAACAGTAGGAGAAAGAGAAAGAGGGAGTAAGACAGCCAGCGCACCTCGTCGCCGTCTTCATCTGCCATCTCGTCCAGATTAAGCTTTTTAGCGGATGTCTTCTTGGTCACTTTCCAAGGAACGTCAGGTGAGAGAGAGAGAGAGAGAGAGAGAGGCGTGCAGATGATGCTTACTTTTCTTCTTGCGTTTGGGGTTGAAGTAGTCGTCGAATATCTCCTGTGGGAAGAACGGCTGGTGCAGGTCTTTACGCTTCAGTGTCGGCTGTGAGGCGGGAGAGGGACGATACTTGTCTGAGTACCGGGGGAGCTCTAGTTATGGAGGTGTAACAGTGAGTCCGTTGAAGACAATATGAAGGGTGATTAGTGGCTGGACGTACCTGTAGACTTGGTCGGCTCGACGATACAATATGCTGACTTCCGGAGACGCTCTGCGAAACCAGTCTGGAGTTTACAGATCTGTATCTCCTCCTCCGTAAAGTCTGAGAGCACGGGCATAGGATCCATGGGCTGTTCCAGGTATAATCTTAATCAGTTTCTATTTGATTGCTGTTATGTATCAGGGAGACATACAGGGTACAAGCCAGTAGCCTCCCTCGAGAGGGACTGGATATCCGCAAATGTGAGGCCCATGGGCGGTGCATTACCAGGACCAAACATGTTCTTCCCTCCTCGTCCCCCACCACGTCCCCCTCGCCCTCCGCCGCGTCCTCCTCGAGACATTACAGATGCAAGATCGACTTGACTCTTGAGAGCAGCGGGCAGAACACGCTTATAGGGGGTTTCCGCATATGGCTACGGGAGAAAGCGCGCACGAAATTGCAGCTCCGCCCCAACGTCGCGCTCGCCTGGCCGACGTCCCCTGCAACTGCCAGTGCCACCGCCGCCGTCGACTTTGAAACTGCAACACGCTCGCCTGCCATGGACAAATCACTCGACGACGTAAGCGGCGTATTCTACTACCAGGACAGTCAGGTGCTCATTGTCGGTTTTCCTCCAGATCATCGCCTCAAGACCGCGCGGAATCCGTCGCGGTTCGTCTCGCCGTGGAGGTCCTGGCGGGCGCGCTCAAATCCTAGGCAATGGACCCGTCAGCCCTAGCGCTCGTGCCCGCTACGCCGGTGCTGTACCCGTAGCAGGTGCCCCTCCCGCGGACAAGATTATCGTGTCGAACTTGCCGCTGGACGTCAACGAGGCGCAAATCAAGGTTGGCATTGCCTCTCATTCTCCTCATACCAATTCCTTATCTCGAGCAATGCGCCGCAGGAACTGTTCCACCAAACTGTCGGCCCGTGCCGCGAGGTGACGCTGCACTACGACGCGGCGGGGCGCTCGAAAGGCGTCGCCGCTGTGCACTTCACGAGAAAGGGAGACGCGACCAAGGCGTACCAACAGTACAATAACCGGCTTATCGACGGAAGTTAGTATCGGCTGCTTTCTACTTCTATTCGTGACTCGTTCTTCGCCTTGCGCATCTTGCTCGCCGTGACGAACATCCAACGGCACCTTGTTGCTGCTTCTGCTCGCTCTTTGCCGCGGTCGATATGGCCGTCGGTGAACGCTCGAAGAAAGCAGAGGATAATTAGGGGGCAGGAGTTTCAGGAAGAGGGAGCGGCTATGGATGAAGGTTGTATAAAGGGCCGGAGACGGCGACCCTAACTCCTTTTAGCCTCTCACGAAAAGCGTCATATGGCCATCCTGTGCGGGCAAGAAAGACGCAGCAAGTATGGACTTGGTAACGATTCGGATTCGTTGCGGCGCGCGCTTATTCTGTTCCCCTTCCTCTCCGCTGCCCTACCCTCGAACATGCGACTGATGCTTCTGCTCTCTCTCTTCTCTTGGGTCTCCACGCACTTCCTACCGCACTCCTGACGACACTCCGATACTACATCATATCTCGCCACACCACCTTACCCTCTTTGCTCGCCCGATCCGACCTCGAACCCGAATAACTACAAACATGGATAGAACGTCCCATGCGCATTGAAATTGTCGTGGACCCGGCCAAGCCGGTCCCTGCTACCCTTGCATCGCGGGTTGCACCCGCAGGTGTAGTTGATAGCGTCCCTCGGTGCGTCATCATGCACACTGTCCATTGGTTCCATTCTTAACAGTAATGGAACACGTAGTGGCGGCGGCCGAGGACGAGGACGAGGAAGGGGGAGAGGTGGACGCAGGAACGAGAGGCCGGTGAAAAGTGCGGCGGATCTGGACGCGGAGATGGAGGTACGTCTCTATGCTCTTCCGCCTCGATGGAACCGGGAACTCATTTTTGTAACAGGACTATACATCGACCGCCGCTGCCGAAACCGCTGCTGCTGCACCGGCTGCTTCTTAATTCTCTAGTCCTGCCGTCTGCTGTTGTACATTACCCTTTACCTGCGGACAATATGCCCTTCTGCCTTTTTTGATCCGTGCTTTGTTTCAGTTCCAGTCTGTGAATGTGTAAAGCACATTTATCCCGTCTCCGGGTCTCATTGAGTTGCATATATGTCCTACGATGCAAGCCCGAGTGCTCGCCCTAATTATTGACAGTGTCCGTCATAGCCACAGCGCGTCTCGAGCTTGAATGCAAACTGCCATGCCCGCGACTCTTCTATTGTTTCATAGTGCCTTGTCTGCTTTCCTCTACTTTGCAACGTGAACACACACCGTCTCCTGCCTAACTGCGAGCTATAGTATGGCCCTGCAGACGGACACGCCGCCGCTGTTGTATGCTGAAGATCCAGAGTGGGCGGATGTCGTCCCCGTTCCGCAGTATGAGAACGTGAACCCTCTGGCGCCGATATTTTATACTGCTGAATGTGAGTAGTTTCGCCTTCAATCCGGAACTCTAGTATGTTTGGAACTGCGAGGCGAGCTTGCGATCTAAGCTGGCATTGTGCTGCAACAGCCGACCATGATCCCCAGCTACCTGACGCTGTTTTACGCCAACGCTAACCTGAACTCGCTCTACCCTAGACAAGGATGCGACGGACTACTTCCGCGCGGTCGTCAAGGCTGGCGAGATGAGCCCACGCGTGCTCGCGCTGACCGAGAAGATAATCAAGATGAACCCCGCGCACTACACCGCATGGTACTTCCCCCCCCCCTCCTGCCCCATCTAAACTAATGGTCCCCCCAGGCAGTACCGCTACAAGACCCTCCTCGCCACGGGCGCGAGCTTCGAGGACGAGCTGCGCCTCATGGACGTCTTCTGCATCAAGTTCCTCAAGACGTACCAAGTCTGGCACCACCGCCGCCTGCTGGTCACGCACCTCGTCCCCGCGCCGCCCTCCTCCCCGCTCCACCTCGTGCAGCTCCAGGAGGAGCTCGACTTCATCGCGCGCTGCCTGAACGTCGACACGAAGAACTACCACACGTGGAGCTACCGCCAGTGGCTGCTCGCGTACTTCAACGCGGACGCGCTCTGGCGCGGGGAGACGAAGTGGGTGGAGCGGATGCTCGCGGAGGACGTGCGGAACAACTCGGCGTGGCATCATCGGTTCTTCGTCGTGTTCGGCTCGGGCGTGCGCGCGGACGAGGAGGATAGGGAGGGCGTCGTGCGGCGCGAGGTCGCGTGAGTGCTGTGTGCTGATTTCCGCCCGTCCTCTCAGGGGCTTTTCTGGATCTGACGAGCGTGTGCAGGTACACGAAACAGAAGCTCTCCCTCGCGCCGAACAACGCCTCCGCGTGGAACTACCTCCGCGGCGTGCTAGACCACAACCGCGTCCCGTACTCCTCCCTCACCTCCTTCGTCCAGCCGTACACCGTCCCCCGCGCCGAGGACGCAGAGGCGGAGGACGTCCTGGACCTCGAGGACCCGCTGCCGAGCAAGGGCGCGGAGCTGCCGTGCGTGGGCGCGATCGAGTTCCTCGCGGATGTGTACGAGCAGGAAGGGAGTGGGGAGGGCGTGCGGAAGGCTACGGAGGTGAGTCCTTGACACCGGTCATGAGTATGCGTTTGCGTTTGCTGATGGCGCTCGTAGCTATGGAAGAGCCTGGCGAACGAGTACGATACGATCCGGAAAAAGTGCGTTTTCATCCCAACATTCAGACTTTCTAGACCCTCATTGACGCTTTCGGATCGCGTAGGTACTGGGAGTATCGGATCAGGGAAGCGTTGGCTGGGCAGACATCTTGAGTTGTGTAGGCGGCGGAATCTTGAAAGGCAGTCTTAAGGCAGCATGTATTTGTATCTCTTATCATATATCTTTGTTGCAATTCATCGTGAAAGTTGACGCGACTTAAGACCGTAGCGACGAAAAAGCACATCGCTGTTACAGTATTTCTGCGGCCGTATATTCCTACACACATTAATACCTTCTTTCCTCCTTTTCTCCCATACGTACCCTCACTGCGGCCGATCCGTCAACGGGACATACTACCCACGCGGATCAACTTGAATCAGCCTCCCCTCAGCACCCACCACACACAAAGCACTCACCATAACATCAATCAACTCCGTCTCCGTCACCGCGCCCGTCTCATCCTTATCCACCTGCACGATCTTCTGCTCGCTCGTGCCCACGGGTATGAACATCCGCCCGGGCGCCTTCAGCTGCTCCACCAGCTTCTTGGGCATGCTGGGCGCGGCGGCGCCGACGTGGATCGCGTCGTACGGGCCTGCCATCATCCCCCACATCAGCCTCCCTCCCTCGCGTCCAAAACAGGACAACGACCACCCACCTTCGCGCGCGTACCCCTCCCTTCCGTCCCCCGCCACAACCTCGATGCGCGCCTCGTCCAACGCGCGCCCCAGCCCGTCCCGCCTCAGATTCTCTGTCGACCGCTCGACGAGCTCCGGGACGTGCTCGATGCCCACCACCTTCCCCTGCCCCTGCGATCCGGGCGCGTCAACGAGGTGGAAGAGCACCGCGCACAGATACCCCGAGCCGGAGCCGACGTCGAGCACGCGCGCGCCGGGCCTGAGGAACGGCAGCAGAGTCTCCGCCGCGTGTGCGTGCTAGGCGGGGGGCGGGGCGTGGGTGGTGGGTGAGCAGGGGGGTTGTCGGTGTTACCTTCGCTTGCAGAACACGGTTGAGGGAATCACACACACCATATGCGGCGCCGAAATAGTCGCCCCATACCCAATCCTCCTTCAACCCCAATCCCAATCCCACCCGCTCAGCCATCCCATCCCCCCCCACATCAATACCAAACAACAACACTCACTGCGGAGAGTCCATATACGCATCACCCTTGTCGAGCACATAATTGGCTCGGTCAACTTTAGTCATCGCCTTCCCAGTGTCCCGAGTACTCGTCAGTTCGCCAGCACTGTCTGATCTGAGACTAGCCACCGACAGCTGCCACTCTCTCAGAGTTGAACACGCCGTTTCGCAGCATGTTCGATATGAGCTCTGCGTTGGTCGATCCCGACGATCTCCATGCCATCCTTGCTGTAGAGTGGAATGCGCTAAACAAAAGTCGGCGTAAACGAATGCTGGGCAGTTAGGTGAATAACACAAGAGGGGTGCAAGATATGGATCGGGAACACCGACCAGTGTTAGGACAAGGGTGATATGTGTGTTCGGGGTCCTAGTCCACGCTCTTTGCTCGGTTTCCTCTGAATCCTTGTGCCACCGTTGATATGTGTCCCATATCCCCCTAATAAATCATGAGGACGTGTAGTACTGTAATACGGATTTTGTGATGTACCTTGCAATTGAGGTCTATCCTCAACTGAATATCTGCGAGTATAGGCTTTCTGAGATAAACTCGTGCCTGCTCCTGGGTCACGTGCATGTACGCGTCCCTAATTTACAGCCACCGGGATAGCGCCGCTCACCGTGTATTGCGAGCATTGAGCAAGACGAACCCTTCTCGGCTCTGATACGGGCTGTTCAAATTCTACTATGCTGAATGAGGACTACGAACTGGAATCCGCCATATTTAATCTGGATCCAGGAAGTTGTACTGGCGGGACATGGGCCGAAACTGATATTTCCGAGCCATCTCATTTGGATGGCTCTCAGCCAGGTAACTTCTTGCAGCCCTCCCCATTTACTCTGGAGCAAGACTCCTTTGGACATCAAACTTGCTTATTTCATGTGTCTGAGCAGGCGAGGCAAGCAGACCCATCCCTAAGTCCTCTCGGTGGCCCAAGTACTCCCCGGCGCAGAGAAAATGTTCCGAACACTTCTGCACAATTGCCTATCCCTAGCTGGGATGATACGAGTGCTGACTGGTCTTCTCTCCCTTCGCATCATCAGTTTCCAACACATATACCTGCCCATGTCACAGAAGGTTCATTCCAACAGCCGCTTAGCCCTACCCCGACTCTAGTCGACAGCTTTGTTCAATCCTACACTCAAGAGTCTGAGCTCCCAGGTCAGCTGGCCTCAATATATGCACCCCAATTCCTGCCTGATCCTGAAAACTACCATTGGAGACTATTTGACAAAAAGTGGGAAGTCTGCTGCACCCGTTGCAACAAATGGGTCCGGACTGGAGCTACGACTCGAAGCACCACCTGGCTTACAACCCATCAGCGTGGTAGGAAATGTAAAGCTCTTGACCAGACAGCCGAGATTGCCCGAGCGCGTGAGAGGCGGGAAACATGCTTTCCGCAACACCCAGGGTCCAGCACTTCTCTCGGTCGCAGTACAGCCTCTCGATCTCCTCTGCCCTTTGTCTTTATGGATAACATCACTCCATGGACTGTCGAGAATGCAACACCAGCCTGGTTAAACAGGTACATTCTCATCTTTTGCCAATCAGCCATTACGATTCACTGATTATATCTAATTAGCGACTTGGATTCTGATAGCGAAAATATCGTCCCTCAAGGCACGTATGCAACGATTCCAGATAGAGATGTAGCTGCGCTCATGGATGCTTCACCACAATCGCACTGCTGCCAGGGTATCGAGCTGGACTGGCCCGAAGATAATTTCTTCGAGTCTTATCCCTTCCAGAGGCACGGCTTCTCACTCAAGGCTATTGGATACAGCTTCTGTGCAGTCGAAAAGAACGGTGTCAAGTTTCGTGTACGTGCTGATAGTTGTACTGGTATTAAAAGCCTGAGTGATTCCCGGGGGTTTTGCTTTGACTGTGGGATGATCAAGGGTGAAGTCGGGCGGCTGGCGAATATGGCGCGAAATGCGCAACCTCATACGAACCATTCCTATTTGACGCATCTGCAGCTGCGAGAGCTGTTGAAGGACCGGGACAAGACAATTTCATTCTGGAAACTGAAGGTCAGCCGTTTTCTTGAGGCTAGCACCAGATACTTACGCATCTGCCCTTCAGACGCTGGACCTAGGGCGAAGATGTGCCCGGCTCCTGAGTAAAGTTGAGGACTGGAAGCGGTTCCTAATGCTTGCAGCTACGAAAGATGTTCCACGCTTTCAGCAACTCCTACGGCAGGCCATCAGGGATAAATGCAGTATCGGGCGCATTGTCGGGAAGGTTCAAGACGCCCTAGAAGGAATCTACCAGGCTCGGGGTTATACAGAAGCTGATGCTGATATGTCCCTCCTTGCTTACCGGCTTGGTGGTCGTAAACTGCTGTACGCGCTGAGTCACCGCTGTGTTATTCCATCTATCAGGCGACTCCGGACCATGAAGATATTCACTCAATTGATGCCCAGCTTTGGTGCGCCAAAGGAGGCTGAAATAGAATTTAATATGGCACAGCTTGTCAAGTCTCGTATCGATACTTTGCCAGTGGACAAGGTGCAACTGTTCCATACCGGTATGTCAATCATGTGGGATGAGATCAACGAAGAGAATGTCGCTTGCTACTTCCCTCACGCTGATTGCGTTGGGGGGCTTTGTCGTGAGCATTCTCAGGATGTCAACATTAGGCTCACCTCCCTTGAGGCTGCAGAATCCCTGGCTCACGCTCTCGCCGATGGAACCGTCCATTACGGCAAGGAAGCTTCCGTTATGGCCATTGGGTCTTTCGGGACTGACTTACGTGGCGCGTTTCCGGTCTTGATTTCCCCTACCTGCAAGAAGGAGACACCTCAAGAATCTGCAGTTCTGCTCGAGAAGGTCCTGTCTGCGTGGAAGAATGTTGGTGAACGTCATTTTGGGCCGATCTGGACATTTGCCTCTGATGGTGATGCCGGGCGGCGCGCAATGGTCCATGAACTGTTCTCAAAGCATGTTGTCAAGCCCGGACATGTATTGTATAAATATCTTGGACGTCTCCCTGGTTTCAACCTCTGTGTCGGTGATGATGATGTAACTGGCACATTTGACTGGAAGCATGAGTTGAAGCGTATGTGCCTTATTCTGTCATGTAGGTACTGTCTCAATGTTCTTGTCTAAAGGCATTGCCCGTCTATTACGAACTGTAGATGGACTACAAGTTGGTAATACGGTCATCAAGAATGATACACTCGCTCGCCATCTCCTTCGGGCACCGGACATGACTGAATATCGCGTCCAACAGATCATGAACCCTGCTGACTCTCAAGATGTTCCCCGTGCTATTGATCTCATAGATACCGTCTCCATATTACCTTCTGTTTCACCCTCAGAACTCTCCCCTCTTGATCTCCAGGAGCTTCAAATAATCGAGGTCATTGGTGAAACATTTGGTGCATTTCTTGATGCATTTATCAGGACCGACTGGAGTCTCCAGCAGCAGCTTTCTTCACTTAGCAAGTATGCTCATATGGCCATTGTCTTATTCCGTCAAAACCGTGTTAGCTTTATGCCTAACCAGCTCTACGGGGACATGATGAAGACCATCCATGACATATATGTCTGTATAGCCAAGCAGAAAGAGCTTGATGGGACAAAACCATTCTTCCTCTTCCTTACTGGCGATGATCGACTTGAGGTGCTCTTCGGACGTGTCCGTATGCAGATTGGTCATAACCCGAACTTTACCTTCAAACAGCTGATTGATCGCCTTGCGGGAGCAGTGGACCTGGATGCCATCTTTGTCCGTAATCGTGAACTTGACGAAGGAAGCCGACGTCTTGGTGTTGCACGAGCTGCACATGCTGACCACCTCAATCCAGAGGCCTGGAAGGGGAATGCTATTGTTAACAACGTGGATTTCGAGTCTGCCTGGACCTCTGGACGCACTGCTGCTCTGGCAGTCTTGCAGAAGATCAATGTTGTTGAAGATTTTGATGCTCTATTTCAGACAAATGCCGATAATGATGGTCTGAAGCTTGACATGCTTAAGCCATTCGGTGACGGACACTACCCTGGCATTGCGACCGATTTGGACCGGTCTCTTGAGCCGGTATCTGGTGCGCAAGCTATCCCTGCTGAATCTCTAACACCGGATCAAGATGCCACTACCTTAGACCCCAAAGAAACTGCGGGCGATCCTCGTGATGACAATGAGGCAATAGTTACCGAGATGGATGACGCCGAAATCGTTGCAGCTGGGGTACTACCAGCCAGCGTTGTCATAGATGGTGTTTCTGCAGACTCTTGCAGGACAGAGGATGTCTCTGCCGATGGCCTTAGCCTTGATGATGCTCTCGATGATCTTGATGAGGAACCACTTCCCTCTCCGGCTAATGTCTCTGTTGTCTCTCCCTGGATAGAGCACAATGGGAAAAAGATACATAAAGCATCCATTTGTCGGATGGTGATTACACCCAACTATGCACGGAAGTCTCATGAGCGGCTATTACGGGTTCGCTGCTTTACATCGGATGTCAAGCCACGAAACTTCAACACAGACAACCTCCTGGATCCGGGATTGATCACCCCAGGAGACCTCTTTGTGACGCTTATCGCTTGCGAGTCAACAGTATCAGTGGCCATTCTCAAGCTCATTGCTATCGAGCAGAATGGGAAAGTTGTCGAGACGGCCAAGCGAGCTTCTCTTAGCCACGGGGTATCAAAGATCAAGCTAGTTGGTCAAGTTCTCGGCATGAAGATGGCAGTGTCGCCGGACAACATTGTTGCTGTGTCCGACCTGTCTTCGGATATGCCACATAGTTCAGTTAACGTTCCGGCAGAATCAGAAAATGCAAATACACCTTATACGTGGCTATGGAACGGCGACTTCGCTCGACTCGCACTCAATCAGAATAACCCGACGCCTGCAGGAAAGACATCCCGCAAGACACTGGTAGTCAAGGTCTGTAGCCACCTTTGCGAGCTGCTCAATCCACATCTTGTTTGCTCGAGCCGCTTCAAATCTCTCAACCCGGAACTTGACCTCTCGAACCTCAATGCGGCTGGTCTGACATATGAACTGACCGATGCCCAGATGGCGATCCTGATTGCTCGTCTCTGGGAATCTGTGGAACGCCACAAAGCACTCGCATCATTACCCGTGTTTCGCACTAACACATCCTTCCCCTACAAGGATCACAATGGTGCGTGTTCTCTCAGCTAGTGATTTACATGTCTTCACGAGCCATTTTCTCGCAGGCAACCCGGCTCTAGTCTCCAATGAAGCGTCTGCTCGCCTTGAAGTTGAATGCGACAAGTCACGTCTGAAGTTTCGCTGCTGTCATTGCCATGTTGAAATGGACCTTAGCAAGGCCCGAGCTCATGTCGGGATCCATGTTCTGAAAGCACTAAGAGGGATTATGGAAGACTTTCCAGGTGAAGCTGTGAGTCAATAGTCGCCGCACTGGCAGGTTACCCATATGACAACTTGATCATGCTATCCTAGGTCGGTGACAGTATGCCTTGTGGGATTTGTGGCTGTTCTGGCCTCACGTCCTGTAGCGAGGTATTTCTGACAAAGCCCAAGGGGAAGAACAAGAACCCACAAGCTGTCTCGAATTGCCAGTATTTCCAGAAGTATGCTTATGCTGCAAGCCTGAAATCTACCGACACAACAGCCTCTACCAACACACCAATACTCTGCCAGCTTGGGTGCAGAGTAGAACATCCTGACCGGATGACTGCAATCTGGAAGTACAACATGACTGAGCATATTTGCACCGCTCATCCTGGCTTTGAGTCAAGCTTTGGCGTAGGGGATGGAGCCCCACTACCTGTCAAGATGGCTTCGGACATGTTCATATCATTCGAAGAGGAGAGACGAATTGGCATCCCGGCTGAAAAGATACCGCAAAAACTAGAAGTCCCCACGGACAACACCTCTCTTATGTCGTCTCGCATGACCGTCCCCAAACGCGCGGCGAGCGGCAGTGGAAGGAAGTCTAATGCGAAGAAACAACGTATAACATAACAACGACTTTTATCCGTATCGTAATTATCAATATCTTAGCATCACCGCTAATACATGACAGTTTACTTGCATTCTGCTGCTGGAAACACTTTGTTCCTCGTACAGTCTCGAGACGCGTCGTGCTAATTGACGCGTCGATGGGTGAATCGCGATCGTCCTTATTGGGTGTAATCGTGCTTCTGCCGCTGTTCGCCGCGTCTATACACGGAAGGGGGGCTCCCCCCTACCCCCTTTCCGGGGGTCCTGGAAAGTTGGAGGTCGGTGTCCGAAATTCTGGTTTTGCACCCCTCTTGGAATAACAGTCTGCATGTTATTGTGGGACGCGTTATAGTCGAGGGCCTATGACGTCAGTCAGTATGCATTAGCAGCTGTCATGATCATGTGATCTATCTCTCGATCGCGACGCGTCTCATTAGCCAGACGCGTCGAGCTTCCGTGTCCAAGCGACCACTTGGCCGTATAAAACCCATACAAACGTTGTATTATGCGCCGAACACGAAAAACATGACAACTGCGATGCGACGAAAGAGTACGATAAAGACCATTCGAAAGTGCGGATGACAACAACGACAACGCTAGAGACCCGTGACCCAGAAAATACCAACTTTTGCTCGAGACATTCAACGAAATGAGGCTGCTCCGAGGAAAAAAAAATGCATGAATAAGGTCGGCCGTATGGCGGTGCTTGATGGGTACGTACTTTTGCACAGTGATGGACTTAAGCCACCAGGTTGACCGGGACGCAACCGACGGAGACGAGCGAGTCTGTAAGTCGAGCAGAGATTAAGCACACCAGCAGAGATAACCAGCCCATAACGAAGCCACTTACTCGAGTTGTCCTCGCAACAAACCGGGTTGGCTTGGCTAAAAATCCGTTCGAATCAGCCCCCGAGTCCCCAAGCATCACAACGCGTACTCACCAGCTAGCACCCTGTCCCAGGCCGACTACGTTGATGGGCGAGCACGTAAGACCGATGGGCACGTTCAGACCGTCGAGGACGATGCCGAGCAGGCCGAGGAGCTGGGTCATGCCGGGATCGCCAGAGGACTGGACGCTCTGGCAGCACTGGACGGGGCCGGTGTTGCACTGCGAGACGCCCGAGCCAGACCCAGAGCCGTTGCCAGAGGACGTGCCGGCGCCAGCGGCGGGGGTGGAACCCGCGGCAGGGCCGGTGGCCGTGGGGGACACAGCGCTAGTGGCGGGGCCGGAGCCTGCGCCAGCGCCTGTACCAGCGGGGTCGGAGCCTGCGCCAGCACCAAGACCAGCGCCGGCAGGACCGGAGCCAGGGGCACCTGCACCCACGCCCGTGCCCGGACCCGCGCCTGCACCGGCAGAGCCAAATGCACCGGCACCAGCACCCGCACCCGCAAAGGCCCCACCAGACCCAGCACCCGACCAGGACCCAGAGGTCGAGCCAGAGCCCGAGAGCGACCCAGAGCCGGAGACAGCGCCCGACCCCGACTCGGAGCCAGACGAGCAGGTGGGCACGCCGGTCGGGACGGCGAGCGCGGCGACGAAGAAGGAGAAGGAGAGGAGGGCGGTGAGTTTCGCGACGGTGATCATTTTATTGAGAGTTGAGAGTTAACGAGAGTGGTGGAACGACTGGTGGGCGCTGGACGCGAGAGGAACAGAAACAGTAAAACCGGGGTGAACGGTAATGGGGGATATACTGGATGGATTAGATCTTTTTTATACGCGTCGAGGTGTGAAAGGGGGCGGGCGTTGCGGGGCGGGCTTGGGGCTGGAAGACGCCGCGGGGAGACGTATCGTAGGAGCACATCGAGCCCGCGGACTCCAACAATTGGCAGTCGCGATATTGGCCAAGGCAGAAGCCACCGGGTCCAGGCTCAGATCAGCACACTTGGCCCATGAGAAAGGGAAACCACAGAAGCCCTCGTATGCGAATCAGGTACAGACCCTTCACCTGCCCTCAAGGTGCCCGTGAACGCGGACGTCGTGGTCACAGCTGGTGGCATTATACGACGAAAGCAAGCCATCATCTGCAAGCATGGCCTTTATAAACCATGGGGATCCACAGACAACCGACTACGGCCGTCTAGCACGCTCTTCGTCTGTACTGTACCCGACGCATGCAGTCGTCGCATCCGAGTCCCACATTTCCGAGCCCAAGAATCTGTCTGCCAGTTAGCCCTTCACATGTCCGACAGCTAGACTTGATAGATGCCAGATGTCCGGAATAGCCGTCACCCACGGAGGGATCCTCAGCATTCAGATAGATGTCCGTCGAAGCACTGCAAGAACGAAGGGCTGACGTCGAGAATCCAGATAGACTTCCCGCCGGCGCTGTCGATCGTGAAATGATGCTTGGTGACGCGACAGCTCGTCCGCCGAGGTTGGAACAACGTCCTTGGACTTACCTGCATTTACAGTTGACTCACGGTCATGGGCTCGTAAACAATGGCGGCCTGATATTGAGACTTTCGAGCTCGACTGGTCCAGCGAGCTAAATAATGCCGGTGTGAGTCCAAAAGGTGAAGCAGGGCCGGCCCGGGCCCGGGTGCGCACATCTTACCGCGCCTCCGTCTCCCGGCCGTGCCCGGTGTCTCATCCTTGTCACTTCGCTACCTTGTCCATCTGCGCGCAGGCCAAGTACATCGTATGACTTGCCTCAATGCGGCATCATACAATCCAATCCAGTGCGTCGTGACTTGCGGCATAATAATAAGCTTCCTCTCCGAATTCCAGGAGCGTCTGCACTGTCAGTGTAGTGCCAGTGATATGTAACCACTTGTGGCAAGTCACGACATATACGCGTGTGGATGTCGACTGTCGATAGAGAGTGCAACGTCGACCACTCTTTGTGTACAGCCCATGCTTGTGGTGCTTGTTACGAATAAATAGGGGAAATACGCCGGCCAAAATGTCTCTATCCGCTGCCAGTGTTCGCCAATGAACAGACTCATGTACACGTCTGCATATTTGCTACGGAAACATTGGCTTTGCTTGAAGACAGAGAAAGCATGACCACGAACCTCCCTAACGGGCCGTGCTGTCGATCGATCTACCTTCCCTGCTCCCGTTTCCCTCCTCGCCCGTATTGCCAGTGGGGTTGTCTCTATCCGGTGGCACGGGCGAGGCTGGGCCATACCACAGGGCTGAATAGTCTTCATTATCCGCAGAGAAGGGAGCCCATCGGAATACGGATTAATACGGGACGAAGCCTGAGGGAGGCGGATAAGCACGAGCGGTACGTTCAGTATGAGCGCCGACGAGGCATTCGTATCTATCGCCGTACAGCTTACTCGCAATGACGTCGATTAGGTTGATATTTGTCTTCAAGGTTCTATCGAGCAGAGCGCTTATGCCATCCTCATGATGACGATGCAGCGCCTCGAATCCCTTCCAAGCCAGGGCGCTATGTCGGGACGCTCGCATTGCCCCCTCCGAAGGACCTTTACTTTCGCCGTGCGCGCCGATGAGGCATTCGTATCTCTCACCGTCTTGCACACTTACCCTAGTATTAATCAGATGTCTGTGCCGTGCTGTCGCAGTGGAGAGCGCTTAAGCCTTTCTCGTGACCAGGACACGGCGCCCCGAAGCTTTTCCGTCCTCCTCGCCCATATTGTCGTCATCGCTGTCTTCATCCGAGTGGTCCCGCCGAGGCAGGGTCAGTACCTCTCTGTCACGAATGCGTCTACGTAGGGGCGATACTTGATCGGCGAACTCCTGTAGCCGAGAGGGTTCCCGCTATCGCGTAGATCTCAAGCCTGAATCCTCTTTGATATATTCGAATGTCTGCAAACGGGATACAATTGGAATGTGGATTGATACTTGAGGGAACGCGAGGGAGGCGGAGAAGCCCGAGCGGTACAGTCAGTATGAGTGTCGGCGAGACCCCCTGATCGCTCACAGAACTGCTCACTTGCCATGCCCTGTGTAGGTTCATGTTCATGATCGTCTGTGCTGTATATCCGTCTGTCGGCGAAAGGGATACCATCTGAATATGGATTGATACTTGATGGGACCCAAGGGAAGTGGAGACGCCCGAGCGACACAATCGGTGCGAGTGTCGGCAGAACCTTCTTTTCTCTCACTGTACAGCTTACTTTCAATGACGTGCGTAGGTTCATATTTCTGTCTTCAAGTTTCTCTCCAGCAGAGCACTTATGCCATGCTCGGGAACAAGATGTAGCGCCTCGAACCGCTTCTACGCCAGGGTGCTATGTTGGGACGCTCGCGTACCGCTTCTCCGAACGACCTTTACCTTTGAGGTGCGAAACCAGCATCGTCATATGTTCGCGCTGCGGAGACACCGCCGCGGTTAACGCGCGTCTGTGCATATATCCTGGGTATCATCAGCCGGGAATATACTTATAAAAGCTTCCTATTCATGGTATCACCGGTTCCTCCATCCGCCCGTTGTATCCCAGGAGCGCCTACGACACAGAAGTGCTGTACCGCCGTCAAGTAAGACAACGCTGGAGGCAGTGAATAACATGGAACCCGCACTGCCATCATCCAGCGCTCAAAGCGTCATCGGAATCAAGCACTCACCGCCCCGACTGCTCACAGTGAGCAAGATAAATACCTCTCCTACCGCCGCAGTGCCCTGGCAAGACGAGCTGCAGCTGCAACCATGCCTCAGAACCGAGCGCTCCCGCCTCGAGACGGGATCTACGTGATCAAGAACGAAGCCACCCGCCAGGTGTTGACCATCGATCCGAACGCGCAGAGCGAGTCGGCGCTTACGCTGCGGGAATGGAATCCTTACTTGACCATGACCTGCGTGAGTGCCTTAGCTGCGCGACTGGGGAAAGGGCCTTGGACATCAATTTTGTTTCAGGAATTCCGCGTCGAGAGGATGCAGGGCAAGGGCGAGTGGGAGTATTCGCTTGTGGCCGCGCATAACGGACTGAGTCCATACATACTCGGGGTAGGTCCGCTTGCTAATGCAGACCGGTGCTCCGTGTATAACCAGCGACACTTCCAGAACGAAGAAGTCCCAGTAGCATTACACGCCGTGTTCCCATTCCACTTGCTCGCAGTCGTGCGGCCGGGGAAACTGAGATGTCGGTGAGAGCACAGTAACGCTTTCCCCCAGCACTGAAGCACTCACTCTGCACGTCAGCATCTCGGACTCGGATCGCCCCATGGAGGAACGCAGGTATATCGTCGCCCAACGGGACGGATTTGGATACAAGGTTCGTCTGACAGTGCCTCGCTGACGATATATACGAGCCCCTAATACATGCACAGCCTGCAATTGTGTGTCACCAGAGTGGTGATGAAGCGCATTACTGGGAGTTCGTGTATCGGCGTCCTATACCGGGTCCGCATGCGAATGGCTCCAAGGGGAAGGGCAAATATAACAACGGCCACTGGAAGGGAAAGAACGATTGCGGGTGGGATACAGAAAATGGCGATAACGAGAATAAGGGCAGGGGCAACGATAACAGGGGAACGAACAACGCCAACAACTCGAACTGGACCGGTGGTCGCGGCGCCGGCAAGAAAGACGAGGCCCCCAGCATATGGTTACGCATCCCGACCGGCGCGATAGAGATACATGCCAGTGGATGTAGAGGCCTACATACTAAATAAGAGCAATATATTGGCAAAGGGAGCGCATGTGCGATGGAAGAGATCTACCGCGGCCGTGGAGCCCGACGTACTGCTGACGGCTTGACTGTGGTCCAAACCCGGCGTGAGGTAGAATGGGTAGACGTTGCGGAGCCCCGCTCTCACACGTCCAGCACCAGTATCAGACCACCTCGTGAGTACTACAGCACTCGACAGCCACCTCCAATCTGTGGCTCAGTCATATTTTGAGTTACCACGCACGCCATGGTGTCTGAATTATCCATATTCGCGGAGGCCTGGCTTTCCCATAGATAGACTCGATAGATGAGCATCGGACGCGAAACGGACCCGTTGACTACGGACGGATCGGCGGAGAGGTAATCTGATTTCTTGATTAATTGGATCCCCATCGGCGTATCAAAGGAAGACCTGCCAGAGGAGGTATACCGCGAGCGCGGCACCTGTGATGGTGGAGGTAGGTTCAGTCACGACTTCGCGGTACATACCGACAATACCGCGGGATATGTCTGCTCCGCGCATATAAGCAAAGAAGACGTGATGCCGCAATCACTGATAGATTTCTATGTTAGAGATATCATCGTCAGAGCTCGCTATGGCTCACCTAAAGGCTGACGCGGTGGCAGCCTGAGGCACGTAGAGGAGCTAGTACAGAGATTCTGTAGAGAATAGTCGCATTCATGCCTACCACGAACGATCGACATCAGCTATGCTATAAGCGTGGATACCGAACGTTGGTTAGAGAAGTAACTCAACACTATGCTCTCAATGTCTTTCGAGTCTAGTGATTCACCACACGTCTTACAAACCCGATTGCATGAGACTTCCCCGCGGCTGTAAGACAATATATCATTTTCCCTGTACCTGTAGACGTTCGTCGGGTTCTACTGGAGTCCGTATGGAAAATCTAGGGACAGTACTAGTTTCACAGGTTCTTGATGCACCAGTGTTGTACGAATTCTGATGGGATAGAAAATTAGTAAACATTCAGTACAGCCCTCGTGCCTATCTACCTTCGGCACGAGCCTCTTTATGCATACGCTATAAACGTATCTGGTAGAGTCCTAAGCCAGTCGTGATTGGCCATTGACGATAATTGTTCCTACGCTGACCGACTGGAGCGCTCATGAAGTCAATTTGCATCTTCAAGAGGGATAGTCCAATTCCCACGTACCCATCACAAGTCAAGGATCTCGAATGCGGAATCAGCGCTAAGGGCACAGTTCTGACTGCAACCGGGGAAAAATCCCCTCGCACCCCTGTCCACCAATCCTCTATTGGTCGAACAACCGAGTACTAGGACAATGGCCCACCATGTTCACAGCTGATCCCTTTTCTAACCGCTTCTGTAGGCACGCAGCATGCAGTGTGCTATCCCCGAGTAGCTAATACCGAGTTAAGTAAGTCCTTGGGTTCGTACACCTACGCGACCATAGTTATGGAAGAAGTTTGACAGTCGACAAGAGGGCTCTAAGTGGGTCAGATGGCTGCTTGAACAATGCTCACGAGAACACATCGGGCAACCGAGCGTACGAGCCAAGGTATCCAGTGACCCTTTAACTCAGGATACGCGCCCAGACCAACAGCACTCCCGTACGAAGGAGAGCGCTGGTGTAAGTCACGGTACTTGTCCGTGGAAGAGATGGAGTTAAGCCATTTGTTCTCGCGGTACTCTATTCCGATCAGTGAGTTTTGACGTCCCTGCTTCATCTGCAGGACGACGAGTACGACGACACAGGCATGATACCTAGACGATGCGCGGAGGTGAAGTGAAGGGCTTCCGGCGCGGTGGGATGACATGATGTGCATCTTCCAGCTGGAGTACGTCCATTCAGTCGGAACTATGCTTAGATCAGAGCAGAGCGGTAGAGGAGAGAAAATAGAGGTATGGCATAATAAACGCGGGTGCTAGTCAACGCGATCCGCAGTGGGACAAGCCGGGCTACTCTCTACCGCGCAGGTTAGAAACAGTTTCTGCCTCGATTAATCCTGTACCAAATGGCTCGATTGCGGTGGCACCTCTCCGAGCTCCCGTGGGTGCAGTAGACCGGGTAGGCCCCCAGTTTGCCAAAGGTTCACTGGTATTAGACCATATATGTTTGCCAGATTCCTAGTTCAATTTAAGTGTGTAATCGTGGCCATTGGCTTGACTCGGAGGTGCATATTATACGTGGCATCCGCTAGCGTGAGCTCCATCTGCCGTCGCAACCACCATGTGTCAATATCACGTTTGCAGCACGATGACAATTGGCTCACCTTTAGCAGTGCCACGCTTTCTGCCACTCACCATTGACATATATCCAAATGTGGACGTGACTCATTATAGTAAATGGGAGCCTCACCAGTGGTACAGCCAGAGGTTTAGGTTCACCTTTCCACAATCACTGGTACCATGGGTACTTCTTAAGTTCCATTTGATGCAAGTGTAGCATGCTGTGGGATTGTTGCCAAGGGGCCAGAGTCTGGAATGATCATTTGGAACAGTATAGGTTGCTGATCTCAGGGTAACTCAGCCCATGGCACATCCTGTCTGCTCATGTTTCTATTGGCCCTGTCAGCGTCTGGTGGTAGGACCAAAATGGCCCTAGTCTCCAATGTCACCTATTTTGTCCCTCTGATCACACATGACACAGCAGGCATTTGGACATATGAGTCAGGGATCATGATCATGTGTAAATTGAGTGAATTCTGTGGAATGGAAGCTCTATGTGACATGTGGAGTACTTGTTATCAGCCAGCCTAAGCAATGACTGTATCTTAACATGGCAGAACTTCCCTGAATCACACACTGGCAGATCAGTCTGGAAGTCGTATATAAAACCTGTGTCCAGGACTGTTGCTAACTAAACTCCAATACTGTTTGGGTACTCCCCCAATCATTATCATCTTTAGTTCAACCAGCTCCACTATATGGCAACAGGTCAACCTCATGCTGAGTTTTCTAAAGTGTATACAGAAGATGTCAATGAGTTTGTGTAAGCTGATAGTAGTTGCTATCATACACTGATTCCTTTTAGAGCACAGAACAAGCCTCATGGGCTTGTGGACTTTCCTCCAAGGGCTAGCAAGCGAAAATTGATTGTTGCCTTAGATGGGACCCTGAACCAATTTGGATTGCAGGTGTGTCTATAAGCATGGAATTATTGATGCCTCACACTACATGTCTTCACTAGTATTCAAATGTTGTTGACTTGTATGGCCGCATTGAGAAGAATGATGAACAGCGAATGTATTACAACAGTGGTGTAGGCACTTATGCAACACCTTCACCAAGGTGGTGGTCACCACACATCCTTAAGCGGGCTGTAGGGAGTGTTGTCGATCTGGCTATAGCATGGTTCTTATCTGCCTTAATACTCAGAAAGTATCACAATAACAGATTGGAGATTTCTAGGAGCTTCCATAAATCAATCCTTGCTGCATACAGGTGGCTATCAGAGAATTATGAGCTGGGGAGCCAGATATTCTTATTTGGTGTGTCTGCAGTCCAGATTTCATTGACCATTGACCATAACAAATAATACAGGGTTTTCAAGAGGAGCATACCAAGTACGTGTACTAGCGGCAATGATTGCACGTGTAAGCAATGTCACTTGGCATTTTCCTTCCACTGACCTACTCCCTTCATACTAGGTTGGGCTTTTAGCACATGGGAATGAAGAGCAGATACCTTTGTATGTATTCCTATGCTCACTACAATGTCCATGGTATAACACAAAGACAAGTGCTTATGAGCTATACATGTCTAAGTGGGTGACCATATTCACTGTAATGATCCTGTATACTGAGCTAAATTCATTATTAGTCATCGTGACATGTGCCAAAGGTTCAAAGACACATTTTCGCATCCAGATCATGTTCACTTTGTTGGACTCTGGTATGTATATCTGCACTTGCCAGCTGAAATACCTTCAACATTAGTATAGGGATACTGTGTCCTCTGTCAGTGCTCTCCGGGGCAGAGGCCTGCCTCTAGCTCAAGATACTGATCACATCTGCTATGTGCGGCATGCACTGGCACTTGATGAACATCGAGTCAAATTTCCACCAGTACCTCTCCATCAGCCTAAGTCAACAACCCCTAAATGCAGTGTATGTGATCCACCCCTTACTCAGTCTATTGTTGTTATGTATACCTGAAATTTGTGGGTTCAAGTCTGCATCATGCCACTCAATGCCTGATCCACTGAAAGAAGTCTGGTTTGTTGGTTGCCACTCTGATGTGTGAGTGCCAAGTGATCTGTGTTATTGGAATGTCTTACAAAATAACTACTCAGGGGTGGAACAACTGTACGGTCATATGACAATACCATTATGGACAACCTCCCTGCACTATGGATGGCAAATGAAGCTCAAGCAGCTGGCCTCAAGTTCAGGGAATCTAGTTTTGCACCATCTCAGCTGCTCTGGAAGCATGAACACATAAGAAACCTCCGGCCAACTGAATCCCTGCAGGGCTTTTGGAATATCCTAGAAATCATCCCATTTATAAGCCGAAGGAAGGAACATCCAGTAAGCTACAGATGGTATAAAAGATTCATATCAGGTGATATGAACTACTAATTCTGTCTATTTAGGCTCTTTCCCCATTGTGGTGCACCCCGGTATATCATGCCTGGCCAGAAGATACATGCATCTGTAACCCGAGTCCGGGGTTATCTGCCAAAGGCACAGTTATGGCCTGGGTACCCATCTGATGATTGTGACCCAGTATCTTGGGAGCACATCTTTGCTCATGGAGTATGCCCCACCAACCCTAGTGCAGGCATGAATCAGGTGCTTGAATTGGATTCATATGACCCATTAACTGCCTCAGAGCTGCAAAGTTTCCTCTATCCCCATACTGCAGCAGAGTTACCAGGCCAAAAGAAAAATATCAAAGAAGCACACACTATGCTGAAGCAGCATATGTCAGATACTTATAATGCACTGAAAAATATGGATATCCTTGCACAATCCGGTAAGCAGTGGATTTCTAGCGCTATATGGCAGCCTGATGATTGTATAAAATATGAAGTGGTTGGAATCAAAACACTCCTGGAGATAGGAGAGAGGCTGTGGAGTGATATTCTATCCATTATTTTTGAAAAGGACACCTTGGTGTCCAATGACATCCGCATCCAAGCATTGACCCTGATCAACACTGTTGCCAGCCATGGTAAGTGCATAACATTTATCCGCTATTGATTGAAGCATTGATTCTGCTGAAGAGAAAGGCCTTCATGCCCTACAAAGGTCAAACATTGTATCAGGACTTCTTGCAATTCCTTGGGATATCCCTTTATCCTGCTCAGCAAGAAAAACCATACTGCTCTTGCTGCAGCCAAAGTATAATTTAACACCCTTGGACCAACAGCACCATGAGAGATTTCTCAAGAATCTGAGGTCAAAATACAGCAACTTAGACATCATCAGAAGACTCATCTATCTTGAGCTCCACTCAGGTGCTGCAGATGAGGCTATTTCTGCTCTGGAGTTATTCTTTGAAGATTGTGAGTTTCATAGGTCTTTGATTTTGCCAAAATCTGACTTTCATTGTATGTAGCTTGGCAACGTGACATAAAGCTGCAAGAACTGTTTGCTAGCTACAATATACTCCCCCATGTCAAGGGTTCTGCAGTTTATCGACTGTGTAGGCTTGCTCGCAGCATCAAAGACAGCAATCACAGCATTCAGGATAACAATAATAAATTTCCACAACATCCCCAAGAGATGCAACCAGAATCCTTAAACATATTAGGGGACACATTACTGGCAGAGCGGGTCATACACAGCATCCTCCATGTGCTTGATTTCAACCATCAGGATATTATCATATCTACCCTTATTCGCATGACAGAATTTGATTATGTTCGGAGAGGTACAGTGGAATGTCTCTGTGACAGGCTATGCAGCTAACTACCTATTTTATGTAGAGCTTCAGCACCCCAGAAGACTGACACACCATAGTCCTCGTGTATTTGCTAGCTTTCAAAAGATTACGCAAAGGGTTGGGAATTCCAAAAGTGAGGATGTGCTCACCTTCCACCACTATAAGTTAATGAACAACATTAGTCAAAGGACTGGCTGATGACTGCCCAGTGGACCAAATCATGCATTATGTGACTCTTGTGATAAAGCATCTCCATGTGCACTGTAGAACAGGTAAGTGTTTCCATGTTCACCTGCTCCATTCAGCATGTATCTTACCTATTGTGAAAATGCTATAGAAATCCATGGTGTTCCAACCGTCTTGGCTTTGTCTCAGTTAATCCAAAGAGATGACTGTAAGTTATGGCTCTTTAAACTGAGCCATTTATCATAACCCTCTGCATAGTCATACCAGCCTTGCAGCCACTATTTGACAAGGACTCCAGTGTGTGACTCTTTTTATACCACATATAATTGATAACTGATCATTGTCTCTCATATTTTTTCCAAGATTACCAAAGTCATTGTGGACATCTCATTAAATATTTTATCAACAACAGTAAAGTGCAGTTCATTAATGACATTAGCATCCATGACATCCTTGTTGTAGAGGACTTGCGAGATGCATTTGCTGAGCTTCTGTACAAGTTGTTAACAGATGACTCTGGTAAATAATTTTATCGCTTTAGTGTTCAAGCCTGACATTATTGTGCCTAGGCTGCTATAATGCCTCTTTCTCAGAATGGCTCCAGGACCACCTTCAAATTGAGCTGTTGTCCATCAAAGGATTGGTGGTGCATTCTCTGTCAGAAGTCTCACAATATAGTTTGTCCAGTTTCCAGTCTTCTGCAGATTATGCAACTTACACAGTGTAGATAATATTTACAATATTCTGTTCAAAAGTGTTCAATTCTCTGCAACATTGAGAGACTTGCTGAGGAGTAGGAAGGAAGGTCAAACACACTTGGCAATCAGGGCAGTGTACAACATTGTGGAGACAATGCCCCAGGAAGGCAAGAAAGTCCTTGCAGAATGGCTTTACCAACAGGGAATCCTTTTGATGCTCAAACCACCCCTACACAGTTCCAATCTCTCTCTATTGAAGTCATTTATTGATTTATTCTGCAAGATTTGGACCATTAAACTACCAAGGAGGATCCAGACTCAGCTCAAAAATTCCATGCTTCTTCTGCTCCGGAGAAATAAACAGGCCAAGGTGTATACAGTCCTTATGCACTCAGATATGTTTATCAAAGCACAGGGGGGACCCTTTCTGGCTGATGGAGAGGTTATCATGGAATTAATGAAGTCACACAAGTGGTTCAGGGTGGGCCAATTAGCAAAAGATGATGGTATGTTTGATTTCTTCCTGTTGTCACAGTATAATAATCTTGTATAGACCACATCAAGCTTAAAATAGAGAAGTGCTGTACAAAACTTGGGAAGAAATGGCTTAGTACATTCTCACAAGGGGACAAGCAAGCAAGAGATGAAGCATACACTGATATCTGGCGTTCTGCAAGATCCAGTCAGTTCTATTTCCATTTGGAATGAGAGTTGTGGATTCCTCATTATATGCATATAGAGCTATTCCGCAAAGCAATCCATGACATGGGCTTTATTAGCAAGCTTGACAAACTACTCCAGGAGAGTCATGATGGCCTCATTGAACGATCAGTTATTATCACTCTGTCCACCCTATTAGACTATGGTAAGTGGCACAAAGACATAGATAGCTTCATGGGTCATTGAATCAACATGATATGTTGGTTTGATAGAGGATCTCTATGAAGATGTAGAGAAGATCCAAGTGACAGGACATTTCATACATCTATTTGAGAGCAAAGACCGCAATACTGCCCAGTCTGCCATGGATGCTTGGGGCAAGCTCATAAAGAAATGTATGTATTCCATCCTTGGCTGAAGTCTGGCCTTGCAATTGCTCAGGTTATATATTTGAAGATCACAGCCAGGACATGACAAAGATTGAGGAAGGTATTGATGTACTTGGAAGGCTCCAAGGAGATGTTCGTCAGGCGAAGCCTGTACGTCTCATGGCAAGGAAGACCATGATTGAAATAAGCCAGGTCCAGGATGTGGAAGTATGTACATTGCAAGTAAGTATACATTTCCATTTATATCTGATTGAATTCCCTCTGGAACCACATGTGTGATAGACATCAAGGAAGAATTGACTCAACTATATAAAGAGTTGCTTCAGCCATGATAGTATTTCTAGACTGTACAATGCCAGTAAAATAATGTGATAGCACAAGAGTGTTTAAAACCTGTGAGGCAGAAAACCATACAATACACCCACTACTATCATCCTGGTACCAAGCTAAGGGGCATACCCAGGGAGGTGACAGCAAGTGTTTGCCAGAAGATATGATGGATGGTTCATGTGGTATAGCAATATGTTATTTTTTTTGGGTCAGGCCAATGGTGCATCCCTATATCTCCATGTATAGTAATAAACTGTTTGGGAATTGTTGTGGCTTGGTGGTATGCCACTCTATACACTAGGGTGAGGTTATGTAGACTATCAGACCTCCTGGTGGTTGCTGGGGGGAAGGCTCCAGGAGCAGTACCACTGAAAAGTGGTAGCTATTTACCCAGCGGTGATATGTCTCATCTAACTCTGTGTGCAGAAGAGGGAAGCAGGGCTACAGCTGAAGCAGAACTGACCTTCGGTGGGTGAGGGCCTATGGTCTGTTGGGAGACCAAGCTCCACCTCGCAACTCAAGGATGTGGCAGCTATGCAGCAGAGCGGACCATCTGAGCAGGCGCGGGAAAGGAAGACAGCTGACTTGGGGAAGACAGCATCCTCCTGAGGCGTCAGGATTGGTCGGCCATGCCTCCATATGGAGCTCCTGTGTATGATCCACCTCTGGGATGGTCACTGGAAGCTGGGAGACTGGACGCAGGAAAGACCCAGGAAAGACCGGGGACAACATCCAGCAACGTGGAGTACCAACCAGGAACGGAGCAGCCTAGGTGCAAGCGAAGGCTAACCAACTGGGGCATCAATAAGAATGGATCCTCATAGAGGATGGAGACTCTGTCATGGAGCATACTAGACTGGGTGAAACAACTGGGCTGCACACTCTGGATTTGAAGAGCCACACAGGCACAGAGTGCAACACATATAACAATGAGCAGGAACTGCAACCCCCTGAGCGGCTGGCACTTACACAGCCTAAGTAAGTGGCACACTGCCAAGGTGGTACGGCGAGGAAGGCTGTCAGAGGTGAACGAGAAGGACTTATGATTGAAGGAGGCAGGAGGGAGATAAAGAATGGGGGGAAAGTGAGACAGAGAGCAGCAAACCAGGCGATGCAACCCTGCCTCTAAGTGTGAGGGTCTCTAGGCTACGTTCCGCTCAGTGTATCTGCGTATCTAGCTTGAATCTAAAAAACATTGGTGATGACTACTAGAGCTACTCTAGGTGACAGGCCCCATACCAACATTGTGGAATCAACACTTCCTCCACACCCTACAGAGTCTATTCAACATGCTTCTCACATGCCTCTAGGATGCAACTGACTAACAATGATGGTTCAATTTCAACTCCGGGCATCTGGCATCCTCGAGGCAAGTGCGAATCCCTATGAAGATTTAGCTCCGAGGTCAGGTGCTCCGGAGTGACTCAAGAAGGAACTTCAACATGAATTATCTCTGTACTTCCTCTCCTCCCTCTACGTCAAATCACTGAGATGTGAATCCGTGACCATGAAGCCAGCATCAGTCAGCAAGCGGCCAGAGTTAATTTGCACGTGACCAGCAAGTCGCACAGTGTGATGGGAAGGCTCAGGACAGGTACAGACGCGTCAGGACAACCTCTAGGAGCTAGGATGAGCATATGGAGGGACTAGGGAATTGTATGGTGCATGGTATAGCGGCGGACGGGTGCTGAGCAGTCAATGGAGTAGCGGCAAGTATTTGTTATTTATCTCCGGGCGGTCGCAGGGTCATTGCTGTAGTATAAAATGTACAATGTAAAGTAAAGTAAAAACAAGTTTGATCTTCACCATCTCAGTGTATCAGAGTTACCATCTCAGCCACCTCGAAGTTTGAAAGCGTAGAACTTAGCAATTTAGGACTGATCCTAGCTTTGCCAATAGGCCTGACTCGTCGATTAAATTATCTCTGCTGTTGAAATATTAGCTCCCGTGAGTATTACATAGCAAAATGAAATTAACCATGTCTCTCTAGCATTTCTATCCCATGAGCACGATCCTACGCTAGGTGTCGGTGCTTGCAACCTTTGTTTATTTTCGATCTTCGGAGATAAATACTCCGGAGCTTCAATTTGTGTTTGTTTCAGGTGTCAAGACTTTGTTTTATTTTTCTAGGTCTTCCTACGGACTACCCTACATCGTCTTACTCCTCCCCCTCCCCTCAAACTTAAATATTACCCTTCAATCATCTTGGACCGCCTCCACCCATACCACTGGGTATGTTAGGTTATTTCCCCTTGGTCTTTGGTGTCTGCTGTGTGTCAGTGCATATCAACGCTGTGAGGTCTCCTTCTCAAGATCTAGGCAACCTCCAGACTAGGCCTTTGGGAGCATAGTTTGTTCCCCGTTGATATGCACAGACACACAACAATCACCAAGGACCAAAAGAAATAAACCTAAACCCCGTGATATGGGTGAAGGTGGTCCGAGACAACTGAAGGGTATTTAATAGTTCGAGGGGGAAAGGAGGAGTAAGACGCCGTAGGGTAGTCCGTAGGAAGACCTAGAAAAATAAAACAAAAAACCTTGATGCCTGAAACAAACACTAATGGACGCTCCGGAGTATTTATCTCTGGAAAGTTGCAAACAAATTCGCAAACCATGGAACTGAGTGTAGGTTCGGGCCCACGGGAGTAGAAAACGCTAAAAGGACTTGTTTAATTTTATTCCGCTATGTGAGACACACCGGAGCTAATTAAATCGATGGCGGAGATAATTTACTCGACGAGTCAGGCCTATTGGCAAAGCTAGGATCGGTTATAATTCGCTAAGTTCGACGCTTTCGAACTTCTTGGGTCGCTGAGATCGTAACACTAATTCTCTGAGATGGTGAAGTCGAAACTTGTTTTTCTGTACGCTACTTTGTACAATTTATACTACAGGAATGGCTTTGCGACCGTCCGGAGATAAATAACAAATAACCGCTGCTACCCACAGGATTGCTCAGCACTTGCCGCTGCTATACCATGCACCACACGACTCCCTTGCACTGCTACTTGCTCGTCCCAACCCCTAGAGGTTGCCTTGACGCTCTGCCACCTGATCCAAGCGGTCCCATCACTCCGTGTGACGCGCCAGTCATGTGCTAATTACCTCCGGCCGCTTGCTGACTTATGCTGGCCTCATGGTGACTCGTATGCGTCCGCACCTTCGGTATCTTGACGGAAACGAGGGGGAGTGAGTGCTGGAGGGTGGGCATGAGGATGATGCCCCTCGATAGAAGTGCCCACGGCCCCGGAGCTAATTCATCTAGAAGTTGCGTTGGTTAAGTCGCTCCAGAGCTCCTGTTTGCGGAGATAAATCGCGGAATGGGTCCGTGTACGCCTCGAGGATGCTAGGAAGTCCGGAGCTAAATAGAGCAGTTCTTTAGAGCCCATAGAAGCCTAGTGGCGTGTGAGTGCTGTGTCGAATAAGCTCCGGAGGGCTTGTACGATGTGCTGAGTCCGCATTTTCGGGGGTCAGACGATCCTGAGGCTTATCCATCAGGAAACATGCGGAAGCCAGCATAGGTCAATGTAGGTTACAGAGGGCAGAGTGGTCTTTTGGTTTCCCCCCCTCCCCATAGGTCACTATAAACTGCAACGATATATGAGAGGTCTTATATGGCTCGAAGGTAGAGGCAAATAGGTCATATAGTCGCATAGATGTTGGAGTATAGGCTGCATAGTCATGCATAGTTCGGTCATAGAAGGGTTCAATCATATAACATTCATATCATAAATCGGTCTCTAGCAATAATCTACCGGATGCTTCATTCGCTGTCATATTCTACCCCTTGCAGCTCCCACTCCCTCCTCGCCGCTGTGTAGTCATCGTTGACAAGTAGGCGTGCATCACCTTCATTTGTCTCCGGTACCTTCGCGCAACTCCTACGAAAGAAGCTCAGCAAATCAAGTGCACCTCAAAGCAAGATAATGACTCACCGTGCACATTTCAGCAAGTTTACTCGGATCCTGGCGACAAGATCTAGATCTTTGGTCTTGAAGTCGAAGGTCTCAAGGGCGGTAAGCTGCGCATCGAACTTCTGAGCATAGGCCGATTCGGTAAATTGGATGTCCGTGCGTTGACCGGTTATCCATTCGTCGAGAGCACATTGAACCTATGCAACCAGTTAGTGCAGGCCACAGGCAAAAAGTCGGGACTTACCGCCGTCAGCACCAGGGCTATAGTCATGAGCAGTATCCCTTTGCGCGCGCACTCTCCACGTCGCTCCATGGTGACCATGGACTCGAAGTACTCCGCGTACATGATTCCTTCATCTGTACGGTTCGCATACCATGTTTCATTAATCACTGACTGAATGATAGGGTGCATGTATGCACCCTCCCGTGTCGCCGGATCCTACAAATCTTGTAAGCATTTTCATTGTAGCAGAGGTCTCCTTACCTTGAAAATGAATGAATTGCCCTGCAATAGCACTGCCACTTTGTCGCGCGTCTCTCGTGGATCCGCCTTCTGAGTGGCATCATACAACTTGTAAAGGACCGGCACAAGGGTGCAGCACTTGCTCTTGACTTCACCATGCAACTGTGACCCCCGTGCAGTTATCTAGATGTAGTTAGATCGTCTAGAGCTGAGAAGATACTGTAAGATGCACCAATGTACTGAGGCCGTCTGTCAATGCCACAGACACATTTTTGCCTGAGCAAGCCTTCGCCCAGGCATCCTTGGCATACGTTGTCGCCTTTGTGAGGTCCGGGTATGGCCAGTCTGTAGCTATAAGGCTCCGATAATGGCGCTGAGCGACAACAAGGAGCGACTGCTCAAGCATAGAGAAATCACCGGCAATCAAGCGGCCACGAGAACCGCTGCCTGACATCGTCATCTTCTGCTTCTTCACTACATGTGTTGTCTCGATGGCGATCGTTTCGGGACGGGTGCACATCTTCGCAGTGGATGCGGGGGACGAGCGAGGTGCGGGGACATCTTCGGAGCCATGGCGAGTGAGAGGCTGCCCATGCTCATGGTAAGGAAGCGCATCCACATCGCGATGTCGGGACGGATGGGGGGTGCCAGGGCGTTCACGGGCATTGCTCTGAGCAGCTGGGGTCACCTGAGACAGCGCACGAGCTGATTGCTGCACCGACTCACCCATCGGGACAGCCTCATCGTCATAGTTGTCCCAAATGTGGGCAATCCGCCCACCGGGTGGAACATGCCCAGCCCGACGAACCAGAGTGCGCTTAGGAGGCTGGAATACGATAATGAACGTAGGAAACAATCAGAGGACAAATAGTATTTACCTTGGGCTGACGAGGAGAGCCTGGCTCCTCATTCTCATCGGTTATCCCTGTGTTATCACGGTGATTGATCCTCAGGCGCCGCGGTTGTTCCTCGATGCCAACAGCTGGAGTAAACGTGAACTGCCATGGGATTAGTATCTGGCATCGAAGCTAATAAGAGAGAACTTACTTGGTTGACGGCATTGACCTTTGAAATCGTATTGTTGGCGTATTCTTCTTCAGATTCAATGCCTGCCAGTAGGTGCCAGATATATAAGTAATACAAGAGCATGCCAGAAACGGTCTACTTGCCAGAGTCTTCTTCCACAAAGCCACTAGCTTCTTCATTGGCTTGACGTGCACACAAAGCCATGACTTGTGCCTTCTTAGTTGCAGCATTTGCCTTTTCCTGCTTGTCGTTAACTGTTTAGTAGAATGGGGTGAGTTCCCGCAGCCATCACAACGTGTGGATAACATACCAGCATCCGCCTTTTTGGCAGTCATCGTGACCCGTCTACCGCTGCGCGTTGCTGGGATGCTAGTATCGTCGGCAGTGCCCAGTGCCTGAACTGTCGTCAGAGAGCTGGCAACGGGGACGGTGGCCAACGAAGCGCCTCGGCGTCCACGAGTATTCATAATCGTGACGGGCGGGACCGTACCCTGCGCATTCCCAGTAGAGGCCAAGGTCGGGCTGACATCAGTGTGCAGAGGCTGAGTGGGGATAGCATTGGAGATTTTGCGAGGCATTAGAACAAGTGAGGATTGAAAGGGCAATAGGAGCTCTTGAGTGTACTGCAAGTGGGGGTTGTTGAGTCAGGAGGGGGTGTCCGCACATCTATTATAAAGTCTCCAGGGGCCCCCTCATTATATAGTGAACCTTATCTCTTGAATTCAGCACAGCAATAGCGCGAAAGCCAATCAAACAACGATCAACATACCTCAACGCGTCCGCGACACGCTCACGTGCATGAACGGGTCCGGTTGCAATTGGAATTGGGGTGGGCAAGCCGCCTTGACAGCGGCAGCCAGCGCCGAGGCGGGTGGTCGCATGGCGGGCGGGTAAACCACTGCGAACATTGAGCTGACTGAGCGCAACCTTCTGCTCGTCAGCGTGATCCCTTACTTGTGAATATGCGTCCTCATACCTGTAACTTCTGCAACCGTCAGATTGCGACTGCGAATGGCATGAAGAAGCACATACAACACTCCCCTAAATGCTATGAGGAGTGGAAGAAGCAGCTGGCCCGCTTCACGGTCAATGTCTTCGACGTTAGGGCAGATGATTCATCTGTACGCGCGCCTGGTGAACCCATGTCAGATTCTGAGCTAGAAGATGTTCCCGAGGTACACTATGCAGACTCACCGGAGCCTGCGGACCATGGCAATGCACCCGAGGCTAGCGGGGATCGTCGTGCTCGAGTCGAGGAGGTAGAAGATGAGGGCGACAAACCGCCATCTTCTTATGGGCGGTATGCCGAAGCATATCCTGAAGCAGGGTGCGCTGGTGCGGTATATCCTGATAGGGCTCCTACGAAATTCGAGGACATCTTGGGAGACCAGAAGGCACGGGGCGCAGGTTTGTACGATCCATTTGCAGACGAGCAGGAGTGGGAGTTGGCGCAATGGTTAGCAACACATGTGGGCCAAACGGCCACGGAGGAGTTTCTTAAGCTTTCCATCGTGAGTAAGAGCTGAGAAGATGATTGTTTGAACTCTAACCTTACGTATTAATACCTAGATCCAGGAGCGAATAGCCCCGACATTCCATAACAATCGAGTGTTTCAATGACAGCTTGATGGATTGCCGACGAAGGCTGTGAACTGGGCCTGTCACACAGTCAAGATCGCCGGGGATAGAAAGGATGAAGACGGGGAGTTTATGAAGGAGGAGGTTGAGCTGTGGTCGCAAGATCCTGTTGAATGTGTCCGTGAGCTGATGGGGGATCCGACATTCCGGGATGTCATGGCGTACGCACCGGAACGAGTATATCAAGATGAGAGAGGGCACATATGAATTTTGGACGAGATGTGGACAGCCGATTGGTGGTGGAAGGTCCAGGTATGGCGCCATCCCTGTTCCTGGTTTTCCATTCTCACACTGAAATACTTCCCATAGGAGCGATTGCCCAAAGGGGCTACAATAGCGCCGCTCATTCTGTCCTCTGACAAGACAAAGCTCTCACAATTCCGGGGGGATAAGTCCGCATGGCCGGTTTACCTGACAATTGGAAATATCGACAAGGCGACGTGGCCACAGACAAATGCCCATGCCACAGTCCTGATAGGATACTTGCCCGTTGCCAAACTCGACTGTATGTCTGAAAAAATGCGATCGTTGGCCGGTTATCGACTCTTTCATGAATGTATGGCTTGCCTCCTCGAGCCGCTGATTGAGGCTGGACGCAACGGTTTGGATGGCTATGTCCGGCGCGTTCACCCCATCCTGGCTGCATACGTCGCTGACCATCCCGAGCAGTGCCTTGTGGCATGCTGCAAGGAAAACTTCTGTCCGAAGTGCCGAGTGCCGCCAGACAAACACGGTGAGATGAACTTCGATATCCCATCAAGAAACGCAGGACGCACCATTACAATCCTCAAACATCACTCTACGGGACGACGTGTGATAGCTTTCCAAGACAAAGGTCTGCGACCTGTCTATGAACCCTTCTGGGCCGAACTCCCTCACTGCGACATATTCTCCTGCTTCACCCCAGATCTGTTGCACCAGCTCCATAAGGGGGTCTCCAAAGATCACCTCGTCCAGTGGTGCGTCCGCATCCTTGATGAAGAGGAAGTCGATTCGCAGTACAAGGCCATGGCACGGCATCACTCAGTGCGGCACTTCAAAAATGGGATACCATTTGTTTCGCAGTGGACTGGGACCGAACATAAGGAAATGGAGAAGGTTTTCGTACCAATGCTAAGTGGCGCTATTCAACCTCGAGCGCTACAGGCGGCACGTGCGGTTGTTGACTTCATTTACTTCGCATCATTCCATCAGCATACTTCGGAAAGCCTGGGACGCATGGAACAAGCACTGGCGGACTTTCATGAGTACAAGGACATCTTTATAACCCTAGGACGGCGAGACCACTTCAACATACCAAAGCTACACTCGATGCTACACTACCAGGCGGCCATTCGACTTCTTGGTTCTTGCGATGGCTACAATACGGAATCGCCGGAGCGGCTACACATCGACTACGCGAAGGATGCTTATCGCGCAAGCAACAAGCGTGACTACACGGAGCAGATGGCGCACTGGCTTTCGCGGCAAGAGGCAGTCACGGAGTTCGACAAGTATATCAGGTGGGCGATAGCCGGCCCTCTCGTGGCTCAGGATTCAAGTGATGAGGACATGAACTCGGATGTCGACACCAGTCATGGTGAGGCTGCTGACGAATCAGACTCAGAGCTGGAGGATGAGTCGGACAGTGATGAACGACTCGCGCGCGCTCCAGCTGCACCACGACTGGCGGTTGCGACGTACCTTGATCACCAGCTATCCCTTCCTCGACACCCCAGCGTCCCATCGGTAACTGTCAACTGTATTCAGCGAGACTACAAGGCCGAGTTCTTCCTGGATGCGCTGAGTGTCTACCTGAACAAGATGCGTCCTGCCGACGCTCGACACCTGTTATCTCCTGACGGTGTTGATCGCTTTGACGTGTACAAACAAGTTACAATTGTGCGGCCCAGGGTCCTGGTGATTACGAATGCACTTAAGCTTCGGGACAAGGTGCGCGCTGTTCCTGCAAAGCGCGCAAAACGAGGGACAGCCCTCATCCCCGGACATTTCGACATGGCTCTAGTTCGGGTGGAGGGTGTGTCATCATTGAACCCTCATACAGCTGGAACCTTCCTGGAAGGTATGTTGACAGTCCGGATCCATCTTATATTATCTTCTAATCTATTTGCTAGGTCTCCAAGTGGCTCAGGTGCGGCTCTTGTTCCAGCTGCCGGAATACCTCAGGTATCATCCTCGGCAGCCAGTGGACTTAGCATATGTTGAATGGATGACACTGTTCAGCGCGCAAGATCCACTAACATACACACATTCCGTATCCCGCTCAACACGCCGTGGTGGGCAGCGTAATGCGGAGATCATTCCGATTAGCCGGATCGTACATAGTTGTCACTTGATCCCTAAGTTCGGGACGGAGTGCAATCGTGCATGGACTGCTGACATTGCTGTGGAGAACTGTAAGTCATTTATCTTGAACCGGTGGCTGGATGTTGCAACCTTTTATGAATTCCAGCCACGCGATTTCTATGCACTACGTCTGTAGCTTAGATCATACTTCATGTAGACCAGACATAGCTAGCTCTCTTGTTTATTCCTGCCCCAAGTGGGGGCTGGACGGTCATTTCTAGTATCTGGAAGTAATTGTTAGGTTGCAATAGGATGTTTAGGACCTAAATTGAACCTTAGGCACCCATCCGAGAGGCCACAGGTCGTCACCCCAACAATGTGACACAGTCCATGTGTCACACGATTCATTGCTATCACAGCACACACGCGCTGGGACAGCGCGGATACCTACAGTTTATGAAGCTCGCTATTGGTAGAGTATATATATACATCCTTCTGTGGCCTCTATACGAGGCCTGTCCTATATCAACCTATCTAACCTATGGTAACCTATGGAAATCAGGGCTGCCTATACTGAATTTCGCATTTCCTGATGTCACCTCCCCCTGACTGAAATCTTGACTGTCCTCAGTCTCCACGTTGCGACCTGCAGATAAAAAGGGCTCCTTTCGCCCTCTCATACGCCGAGCTCCAACCTTTCCCTCATCTCTTCGTTCCCTCACAGCGAGATAGCTCCGGACCAACTTGCACGCCTGTATCAGATTATTGCGGAGCTGCGGGAGCAGTCGATCCTGGCTCGTGAAAATGTGGTAAGCCTCCGGGAGGAAAATACACGGTTCCATCGCGAGTTGGATGAGGCGCAGAGGGTGAATGATCAGGCGTGGCAGGAAGTGTGGAAGGCCATCGAGGAGTCGCGCGCGGACCTGCGCAACCTGCAGGAGGAGCATGGGAGGGTGTCAACGACGGTGATTGACCTGCGGACCAAGGTGAATAATTCGGTGCTCGCCCTGCGGAACCAGATCTTGGCCGCCCACGCCCATCTCGTGAATATCGAGCGGCTGATGGACCAGCAGGCTTCTGAGGAGTCGCGTGAGGTGGAGAAGACTCTGGACAGTGAGGGAGAGGTGGGGTCGTGCTCCAAGCCCTTCCTCCTAAATGCGGACCTTTTTCGTTTCCCTTGTCTTCATCATCTGCTCCATGTACCATGTAAGGGGCCGTCCCTATGCCGCCATCGCCTTCGTCACGTACTCGTATTTTGCTCCGGTTGCCTTGTCTGCGGTCCTTCGTCCTGTATAATATATCTGTAGTGAATATTGTCCGCTCAGAATAAGGAGGGTGGAATCATGAGATAAACAAAGAGGGTCCGTTCTATAATATAAAATAAACGAATGGGAGAGCGCTTAAGTGGTGCGCAAAGTAAAGGATCGAATAAAATGATAGAAATGGTCACATAGCTTGCGAACTGTCCGATGGAGTGATGGGAGATATTTGTGTTTTATGTGTGTCCTAACTAAGGCATGAATCAAGAAGCGGAGCGAAATAAAGTGAGCGAAACAAATGCGAAGAATTCGAAAAATGCGAAAATGCCTGGGTATATGGGGCCCATCGCTTCCCTCCCCCTGACTGAAATCTGAACTGTCCTCAGTTTGCTTCGTCTTGAGGATCTTGGTCTGCTTCATCGTCCCCATGGTCGTCCTGTTCTTCCATCCTTCGTACTTGACCCTCGCCGACATCTGTAAAATCCTCCGGGAGTGTAATGGATTTTCTTGCGAGGTAGGGAATGACGCGGAACGCAGCAAAGGGTCGATCGAAGAGCGTACCATCGAGTTCAGCGAGGATATAAGCTCCGCCACGGTTCCTGGACACTGTAATAAGTGGTCCGAGGTACCTGGGCCGCATTTTACGGTTGAGAGATTTTTCTATCTTCGTATTACGAACCAGGACCAAATCACCGCGCTTGAAATTAAAGTCACGGATGGTGGCAGCATGATCACGTTCGAAGCGCCTTGCTCCCTCAATGCGGTGTTGGAGGACACGAGAATGGAGGCGTTCAACTTGCGCATCACGTTTCTGCAAAGCTATCGCCCGGCGGACAATAAGATCTTCGCTGGAGAGAATTGACATTGGAGGGGGCTGCAGGTAAGTCGCTTCGATGATGTCGAGTGGAATGAGGGGATGGGAGCCGGTGACGGCGAAGTAGGGGGAGCATCCCATGCATCGCCTAATTGTTATGCGCTCGGACCAAAGTACGGAGTGAAATACTTGCGACCAGCGAGCGGCGTCGCCGTCCGCGGCTTTGTAAAGCACTTGCCTAAAGTCAAAATGAGGGCGTTCGACCACCCCATTCACCCTGGAATTATATCCGCTAATTCGAATGTGGTGGATGTGGTAACGCTTCTCCAGGTACTCGAGGGCTTTAAGGAAGGGCTGTCCATTGTCGGTAACAATTTCCCGGAGTCCGCCCCAGCGACAGAGTAAGTCCTCGTAAATCCAGTCCCCAATCGCTTGACTATTTTATGCATGTAGTTTCTTCGCCTCGGGGTAAAATGTGAGGACGCAGCGGGCTTGAACAATGTAGCCGAAGCCACTGGACTTAGGAAGGTGCATAGTATCGATGTGGACTTTAGAAAATAAGGGCGCCGGAGTCGCAACGACTGGAGGAATGAGCACTTGCCAAGTTTGACACATCTGGCATATATGGCATGTCTTAACATACCAGGCGACGTCCTTGACTGCGGAGGGCCACCAGAAACGCTCTAATAACAGTGCCTTCGTAGCGTAAATTCCCCTGTGGCCTACATTATCGTGACAAGCCCGGAGTGCTCTGACTCGATCTTCCTCAAAAAGCACAACCTGGTGGGATCCTTGGAGGTGTTTCCGCCACAATTTCCCGCCTGAATAAAAGAACTGCGTGGCGTACTTCACAAAGCTCTCATACTCGTCTGCAGGCAGCTGGTCCGGACGCCTTAAAGTCTGAAACCACACCGGTAGGAGACGGAGTCGACGATCAATCTTTAGCTCCTTCTCGCTCCGGGGGAAGTCAGCGTACTCCAGAATTTCCTCCGGTCGCTCCGGATCGCTTGCAACCGTGTTCGCAAATATTGCTAAGTTCCCTGGTGCCCTCAGGTATGGAACTGGGTTGACGAAGTGCAGAAATCCATGTAAGCGGTCGATCCAGTCATCAAACTCGTCATCTGGGTCCACGGGTCTATCTCCTGGCTGGGGCGGACGACGGCTAAGGCCATCCGGACCATGCGCCTTGCCTGGAACATGTACCAAAGTAAAATGAAACGTCAAAATGGAGACGATCCATCGGTTGATACTCGCGGACGGAGCTATATCTGGGTTCTGAAGCATCCCCTTGATGTAACGCGCGTCTACTTCGACGATTAAATTTCGGACCCCTAGGAGATAGAGGCGGAGTGCTCGGAGACTGCGGAACAGGCCATAGATCTCGAGCTTGGGCTGAGAGAATCGTCGCTCGCGGTCATTGAGGGTGATGGAGCCGAATCGACTATAAAATCGACACTTGGAGTTTTCACTGTCCTGTTGGCAGAGATAATACCCTATGGCAATATAGGAGGTATCCACAGCGAGGATGACTGGGGACTCCAATGTGTAATCAATAAGACGCAACACCGGCAACTCTAGGACGGCCTGCTTAAGGTCCTCCTGCGCTAGACTTTGCTCCGGACCCCATTCAAACGGTACGCCTTTACGAGTAAGCTGGACTAAAGCATTGGCGTGATGTGCGAAGTTCTGGATGAAAATACGGAGAACTCCGACCGTCCCTAGAAAAGCGCGAACCTCAGAAAGTGACTTACAGGGTCCCCAATTACGGATGACCTCCACGCGCGACTCATCAGGGATCCGGCCTTCATAGGTACAGCGGTGTCCGATAACTACAATCTCCGGACCGCAGAGGGTGAGCTTTAAGCCCGAAAATGTTCCCCCACAGTACTTCATTCGCTGGACGACACGGTTGAGATTCTGGAAGTGTTCCCACACGAAGCGGCGGATGCCTGAATTTTCTGGAATCGTCTCATAGGTACTGTCCGCTTGGATGTAACGGCTCGGAGGTCCTTTGACCGGCACATCATCGATATAGGGAATTGTAACGTCTGGTATCTCGGGCTGGAGGATAGTGGTCACGTCGTCGTGAAATATGGGCACCGAATTACTCCATCCCATGGGCAGGGTGACTAGTCGCATCGCTCCGAAGGGCGTCTGGAAAGTAGTAAGGTCCCTGGACGACTCCGCAATTTCTCGCTCGTCGTATCCCACGTATAAATCCAACATAGCGCCACAGGCGCGTCCTGCAAATTGCTCCGCCATGTGTTGAGGGATCGGAGGGACGCCGGAGTGTTGAATCGTGACGGCATTGAGCAGTTCCAAGCTATGAACGAGCCGGAGTGACTTCCCATCCTTCTTGAGTACGCAGAACCATCTGGAGCGGTAAGAAGCATTAGACGGCTCATAAACACCTGCCACAATCTTCTTTTTAATTACTGCGCAGACTTCGTTGTGGATACCAGGCGGAATGGGAATATTCTTCTGGATCCACGGCGTGTGAGGGAGTACTGGGAATTCAATGGGCGGAAAGAAGTCCTTGTGAAATCGGCCACGCTCCGAGTCATTCCAGGCAAACGCCTGGTCGTGCTTGCACATAAACTCGTCCATTAGATTTAACTCCGCTTCCGTAAGAAATCCGCTAGGATGGGCCTTGTGTAGCGCATCCCTACACTCTTGTGAATATCGTCCGGTTGGCTGGAAGGAAGGGGGAATTGTGGATAAAATCAGCATGTCGGCCAGCGGGTCTCC